GGCGTAAGCCACGCCAGTCTTACGCCGTGTGTGTGAACACAGCCTAAGGAGTTGTAGACGTAATGATCTGATAAAACCAAAGTGAACAAAAGAAAAAGACTAGGAGTATGTTGGAATAGAAAATTGAAATTTAAAAATAGTATTGCACTAATAAAACTAATAAGTTATTATTATAAGTTACTACCGTTTAATGTTTTTCTAAATGATGTTCTGATATTTCCTTCTTAAGTGCACCACTAAAATATATATGCCCACTGTTGATTTATGTAAATTAGCTAAGAAAGAATACAATCAATAAATGATAACAAGAAAATCAATAAAGCATACATAATGCTATTGTTAATGGCTATTTGATTAAATGATTGGAGCAATAGTAATGTATAGTAAGTTATTGTCCATAGAGAAGGACCAAAACTCGGGTCTGCCCTGTGGTTAAACAAAGAATGCAAATGCCTTTGCAGTCCTGCTTTAGATCCCTACTATGCAGGGAAGCTGGCAGAGGGGGATGTGTAGTGCTGACCTGAGGCCCTTAAGTTCATATGGATGCGAATGCCACTGGGTCTAGTACAAATTTGCATATGAGTCCTGTATCTGTTTGTCATGGTTTAATGGACCTTCCCACTAGTGTACGGTAAGAATGGCCCCGGAAAAAATGGCCCTGGAAAAAATGGCCCCGGAAAAAATGGCCCCGGTAAAAATGGCCCCATATGACAGGTAGGTAAAAATGGCCCCAATAATCAAATTCTGTATTAAAACTGATTTTCTTGAGTCAATATATGCATTTTTGTATCTTAAATAATTTTGTTTTTAAAAGGAATCTAACATCAAACAAATTGCCATTTACATTTTACTTTTTGCAAGAATTAATATTCAATGATAAAATATTCAAAGATAAATAAAAAACCATGAATTACACTTTTTATTTTTTTTTTCCATTTAAATGTTAAAAAATAGCAACAACAAAATCAATAAATCAACATAAATCATGCATTTATTAATACTAAAATAATTTACTTGTGGCTGATTTCACGGTAGAGGAATCACAATTTTCCAGAAATTCAATCTGTGTATTGTTAAACCCCACAAACAGTGGGTTAGTATGAACATAAAATTATTATTTTTTTTTTTTAAGAAAAAGAGAGTTCTACAATCATAATTATATGGTTTAGATGGGGTTTGCAGTGTGTTTAGAGGTTTGTGTTGTATTTGCAAGTATTTTTTCATAACAATCTAAATTTTAACCAAAAAAAAATAGTTATGAATGTATTTAATTTTCTTATTGATATACCAAGTCAGTCAACCACAATAGAATTGTTTGATTTTCTACAGTGTGTTTTGGGAGGTTTGTGGGATTTACCACTTAATCCTACTATAATCACCCTACCCTCACAACCACACGCCATTTTAATTCTTAGCATAATTGCCATACATAACTATATATAATTCTAAGCCAGTAGTAGGCACTTGGATTTAGTTAGTGATGAGTAAAAACCAAGTATGCAACTAAATTAGTTGCTTAAATAAATGTATTCCTAATTATTCAGTTTACTAAAAGCAATACGAGTTGTTTTTCTTTTTGTTTCTTTAAAATTAATTTACTTATATTAATTAATTTCATATCAGTACCTATATTAGAAAGGGAAAGAAATGGCTTAATCTTATAAAAGATTGCAATAGAAAATGCAATGTAACAAACTGCACATGCATACAAATATTTTCTAGCATTTTATTTTCTGCACTTTATCTAAAGATGCATTCTGTCATGAGCTAAGAAAAAAAAAATTCATTTTTGAATTGCTTAATTTGTATATTTAAATAAGTTATTATGTTACAATTAAAAGTCTGAATGAGAAAAAAATTTCCTGTCATTAAATGGGTATGTATATACTTTTCCTATAATCTTTTGCATAGACCCTTAAATTGGCTGGTATTGTAAATCAATTTAAAGATTGTAGTTCATATCTGTAAATGTGGAAAATATTTTTTTGATCTCTTTCTGGTTGGAAGTTAATAACTTATTCGATCCTATAAAAAATTAGGTATTCCAAATTTTAATTGAATTGTTGTGGTTTTTTTCTGATTTTTTTTTTTTTTTTTTGGCAGTTATATATTTTTTAAATGCTGGACACTTCAAACAGGAAGCATTACATTGCTAATTTAAATATGTTTTGATATGTCAATTAATTTTCACTTATGTACAGACTTTTTTAAATATAAAATTTCTTAAAAGTTAACTGCCTGCCAGCCAGGTAAATTAAGTGTATATGCTGTCTCTTATACACATCTAGATGTGTATAAGAGACAGGTTTAATGGACCATCTTGCTAAGCACGCCCCTTTGATGTTATTGCTTAAGGTCGCATAAAAATGACAGTGTTAAACCATATCTGACACACATGCGCTTGTAGGACATGACGTGTGTTTGCACTGTAGGATATGCGCACACTACTGGCTATGTTCTGATAGGCCAGTTGTTAAGTTTGATTGACATTCCGTAAAAGTCCATTCCATTGCTTCTCTCCTTGATTTTTTACAAGTAGATAGTTTTTTTTGGCTGAGATATTTAAGGTGTACTGCAGGTCCTATGGATTTCTTTTTAACAACCATTATTTTTTTTTTAGATCATTCATTGAATTTGACAAGATTATTTTTAGTATTTTCATGTTTTAATATAAGATTTGTCAGATTTATTCGTTTATAGATATTTTTATCATTAATCTTTTTTCTTCTGTATTTTGTGTTGACAAGATTTGGTTGATTTTCAGGATTCTAGCATTACCACCTGATGAAGCGTATGTGAAATGGGACTTCCCTCCCAGCATCGGTATCGGTCTAGGTGGCAGTATTGAGAAACCTCTGGTTAAAAGCTCAAGCCTTACAGTACGTATTTAACATACACACAGTAATGCTTCATATTCTCCACACAGATCACCACGCTGGATACCGGGGGAGAAATTAACTCCTGATTACAAGCAGGAGTTAGACCTAGCCAGCTCGGTGGGCCAGCAGGGAATTCCCGAAAATGCAATGCATAGAGAGAGGTCCACCTCTGCACCCAATGTTAGCATAAACGCTGTCAATAACCCACTAATTGCATCACTGCTATCGGTAAGTCCTCGGTAGCGCCCTCACATTTCACTCTTACTCTTATTTTATGTTTGGTTGTTTTTCTAATTGTTTTGCTTTTGCTGTATAATACTGATTCTTAGCAGCAGTGAATTCGGAGATTTTGAAAAGGGTGATATTGAGAGTGTGGTATCCCTTGCTTTGCCTATATCAGATTCACTCTAGATTTTTTTTTTTTTTAACGGGGAGAGAGAGGGTAGAGGGGAATAAAAAAAAGTCAAAGTCTTATTTTTCTTTATTAGAGAGATTTCACAACCTTAAGAAAATGATAAAGAATAGGAATACATAATCTTCATTATTGTCATTCATGCCTAAAACATCCTTAACAGTACATATACAAGCTAAATATGATTGTTGATTGATCTATAAGTCATGGATCTCCAACGTTGTCACAGATATGCTGCTGTGTGGGATGGATTGACATAGCTGTATTCCTTGTCGTAAGCTTGCAAACTCCCGAATAGCTTTTCTTGGACATGCTAAGATTTACAATGTCTTTAACCTAACTTAGTACAATGTGCTTGGATGTTACAAATCCTACGTAAGAGCATATTATAATGTAATAAATATACAATTAAATATATATAAGTAATGTTGGTCTCATTCATAATACCATGCACGCCACATTTTTTCCAATCCAGAATTCGTTGCTGCTATGAATTATTCTTTTACGTTTTTTTTTTTATATAGTATTAAATATATAGAAATAAATAGATAGATGTGTTGTGATTAGTAGCTGTTGTTTTAGTGAATGTGGAGAATGAATATTTTGATGTGAGCTGTATTGCACTTACTCTGTACCATGTGTGTTATATATTATTGTGGTGAATGCTGACCTATTATAGTGGCACCTTAAATAAGGATCCTATCAAAATAACGATAAGAGTTAAACTTTAATTCTGCTTAGATATAGAATATAATTCAATGATTAATCATTCAGTTTATTCAAAATAAACCCCAATTGCCATATAATACTCTTAATGAAAATAAAATTAATAATAATAAGAAGAATAATTAAAAATATACTGTAAGAAATATTTTGCCCACCCAGACAGGGAATCTTACTGAATACTCAGTATTACTTCAGAAGTATTTAATGAAGAATTCTTTGTTTGTCCTCATTTTAATTGAGAATGGGGATTTCCCGCAGTGCAGCACCCCCCTTCCCCCCGCCCCGACTCAACTACAACATATAACAGACACATACAGATACAAACGTTGTCCTTTGCCTGTACATATAACGGTTATTTGTGGAGCCAAGTGATCAGTTTCCGGGTTTGAAAACGCGACAGAAATATTTTTCTTAATACGCCAATAATGTTGTTGGTCTATATTGCCAATTTGTCCTACTATTGTTTTGCACTTCACTTTACGCAAGACTTTTAATACCTTGTTTCGCGAACTTATTTTTTTTTTAAAGATCATTGGAATTGGGCGAAAAGAAAATTAAAATAAATTTTAAAAGTTTTCCGCCCGAAACATCTAGACGGAGGAGAAAATAAAAATAAAATTTTATTGGTGAATGTAAACAGTGTAGCAATGGGTTGGTTAAATGCTTTAAATTTATATAATATAAAGAAATATACTTTTTTTTTTTTTAGATTTCAAGGCAGTGTAACAAAAATAAATAAAAACTTCTTTTTCTGAAATTTTCGTTTTGTTTGTGACGCTAATGGACCAAAAATTAAATTTTATTTTTATACAAAATTATCATTATTTGCAGGCACCGGGTTCACTTAAAACAAGGTATAAAAAAGTCTTGCCTTTGTTACCCCAGTGATTCAGTCGAACACTGATGAGCACATGGTCAGCTCTATGGAATAGTGTTTCATAATAATGTAGCTGGTAATGAGCACATAGACGATCCACTTTTACTCCTGTGGAGAAAGAGACAACATGGTTTAAATTGAGCAGAAAGTGTTTTTTACACCACATGCTCTCACTACAAACACATACCTCTAGTAATGGCACATAAACTTTTGTCTTTACACACATTTCATTGGGTAGTTCAGTACAAATTCTATATTGCTCTAAAAAGCATCTTTTTTTTTGTGATACTAAATATAATATCACATTCGATGATATTGATAATTATGATTAGTAATAAGAATCAAAATGATTTAGGTTGTTTTAAACTATTGTATGATGTGTTGTGTATAAAATGTGAAAATAATGCGAGATTAGCTACTGGAAAGGATGCAGCAACGTACATAAAATGAGTGGTGGTCTACTATTTTCATTTTTTTCAATAAAGTTATATAATATTTTATCTAATTTGGGTGATTACTTCAGATAATCTAACCTACAGTATTATGCAAGTCTGGCGAGTGGAGTTGTTTTTCTTTTTGTTTCTTTAAAATTAATTTACTTATATTAATTAATTTCATATTAGTACCTATATTAGAAAGGGAAAGAAATGGCTTAATCTTATAAAAGATTGCAATAGAAAATGCAATGTAACAAACTGCACATGCATACAAATATTTTCTAGCATTTTATTTTCTGCACTTTATCTAAAGATGCATTCTGTCATGAGCTAAGAAAAAAAAAATTCATTTTTGAATTGCTTAATTTGTATATTTAAATAAGTTATTATGTTACAATTAAAAGTCTGAATGAGAAAAAAATTTCCTGTCATTAAATGGGTATGTATATACTTTTCCTATAATCTTTTGCATAGACCCTTAAATTGGCTGGTATTGTAAATCAATTTAAAGATTGTAGTTCATATCTGTAAATGTGGAAAATATTTTTTTGATCTCTTTCTGGTTGGAAGTTAATAACTTATTCGATCCTATAAAAAATTAGGTATTCCAAATTTTAATTGAATTGTTGTGGTTTTTTTCTGATTTTTTTTTTTTTTTTTTGGCAGTTATATATTTTTTAAATGCTGGACACTTCAAACAGGAAGCATTACATTGCTAATTTAAATATGTTTTGATATGTCAATTAATTTTCACTTATGTACAGACTTTTTTAAATATAAAATTTCTTAAAAGTTAACTGCCTGCCAGCCAGGTAAATTAAGTGTATATGTTATGTCCTGTCCAGATTATCAAATTTTATTTGACAACATGTGACATGCCTAAATATGGTCATGATGACATCACATCATGACCATATATAGGCACATCATGACTATGTATGGGTATACAACCATTTTTTTCTCATTCTGAATTAAATTCTTTAAAAATATTGTTTGTTTTTTTTTGTTTTTTTTTTTTTTTTATTGAAAGTCAATAACTTACTTAAACATATAAAAATTAAGCAATTTAAACATATAATTTTACTTTTTTTAAAGTTTATAGCTCTGTGCGGACAATATAGCTTTAACCTTAAAAAAGCCATATTATTGCGGTGGTTTATTTCTCTTCTTTATAGAACCTAACCAGAGAATGCTCTATATAGTTTGAGTCTATTTACTCTGTTGAATGCTGCACTTGGTTCACTTATGTTTGCACATATAGTATGCCTTCCCTATCCCCACTTCAAATCCCCTCTCATTGCAGTCCCTTCCCTATGTATGGTGATCTGTTGGTATAGTATATTATAATTAACATAAGAAATATTTTATAGTGATCATCCCAGTATGTATGTAGCATGTGTATTGTGAAATGCATAATGTAGAACTATATGAATTTATTTTTTGTGATATTTTATACATATGTGTGTATAGGAATGAATTTGTATCTTAACCCTCTGTTAATACAGTATGTGGTCAGTGCCAAGTAATATTTTTATGAAGTTTTTTATATTTATATTCAACAATATGTTTAGAGGTCATTCATTTTTATGTTATGAATTTTATGTCTGTACATTATTTTTTATAATCATTTGGTATGATTCAATTATTGATGATATTAATTAATCTTAGAAAGAATAATGCCAGGCATTTACTGCGTTGTATGACGATTGTACGACCGTTGGCCAAGGAATTCAACTCTGCTCCCTTTGATCGCTTGACGACGCGACTCAGTCTGCTGACTGTCAGTGGCTGTCTGAACGGATTGTCATTAAAAACGATCTGTTGCACACGCGTCGTCGCGTGTTCTCCATACAATCGTATCGGCCGACGGCCGTCGGGCGCAACAAGTGTCCAGCTTAATAGACCGAATTAGCTTTTCTGTTGGGTATAAAATCAAAACAAACTGGTAGGTGGCAGTGTTTCCAAACAATAATCAATCATCACTCACTCAATCCAAAGTAACTTGATGAATTTCTCAAACTTGCTGTATTTGTGCATTTGAACTTAAGTTAACTTATTAAAAAGCATTGGTATTAATGTTACTGATCTTGACCCATTGGTTTGAAATTGAACTGAAAGAAACAGACAGAAAATTGTGGACTTTCTACAAAGGTAAATGTACTCATCCTAGCATTGTCGCATTACATCGTATGATATCAACCCAGCGTCGTCGCATTACAGCTTATGATGAATCCTGTACAGTAGTTAGGTATTATGTGGACATACAAATGCTGTTCTCAAGGTTTTTTTTTTATCAATGCAGTCAAGTGAAACGTCTTAATAACCCACATTCCAACAACGCTCATTTTGTATAACCTTGTAAATATTTCATACAGACAGTACCACAGAGTAACAGTAAGCAGAATTCAAGCCTCTATATAAAAAAAATGATTGCGTCAGTCTGCATTAATTGTGCCATTGTAGGCCTAGACTTCTGGGAAAAAAAATAAAACCCAAATCAATTAGTTCGAACCATTCATAATAAACTAAAAACAAGTGTCATGCACAATTATTTGACAACATGTGACATGCCTATATATGGTCAAATTATAGTACATTTTAGCCAAATTAATTCCAAAGTGTGTTTAACAAGCTTTAAACACACCATGTATTTTGGTGCACACAATGATACTCATGCCACTAACTGGAAGTAAGATGTTCATAACACAGAAGTAAAAACAATGTTCTATATTTTTCTGATGGGTGGGTGGGTGAGTGAGTGCAAGTTTTTTTTTTCTGCCCGCAGTAGTGTGCCAAGTTTAGGGTGACGTCTGCTGCTTGCTTAAATTTAGGGCGACACCTGCTGCTTGCGAATCCCTCAAGGTTCACAATTTCAAAATCATTCTGTTTTGTTTTGTATAGCAACTTTGCAGTATGTTTTGTTTTTATACCCAATAGGCATACTCTTATTGAGGTAAGTCTGTACCAGTGGCAGTGCCAGCAGGGGGGGCTTAAGCCCCCATCGGACTTGTCAATCCCCTCATCGGCCAAAGCTCGTTGGGTAGTCGGACTGAAAAAAAAAGTAGGCCTAGTTCTTCCATCCCAGCCATTTCCAGCCGTTTAGAAGTCCCAATTTAAAAAAAAAAAATCTCGTTTTGGGAGGAGGGGACATCCCCCTCCCATACCCAACCCTGGCTCGGGCTTTCGGCTATAGTTACACCCATAAATACTTAGCGCGCCCCCCCCCCCCCAAACCCCCCCATATCCTTGAGCCGCCACTGGTCTGTACCTGACTAATTTGGTTTATTAAACTATATTTTTTGGATTACTAGAAATATCTTGTTTTAATCAATGTTTATATTATTTATTCCAGATTTTAACTTCATGAATATTCATATACTGTATTTAAATTAATATTCTTGTACTTTGATTACTTTAATAATGAATATTCATTATTTTGCTAAACTTTATCCCTACAGGATTTAGAAAGTGTTGGCAAACCTGTCACAGGTGAGTTTCAATGAAAATAAGCACATCATAAACATTTTTAGCAATATTTCAGGCAAGATGCTCTACTCGGGTATAACTTTTAGATGACTTGAAAGAAAGATTCATAATGGAAAATATACTCTATTGAGACTTAAGTGTCCTCCCTTTTCAAAATTTTATTGTTAATTTAACAAAATACTGTAGACAGAGCAACATATTTGGTAAGGTAAGGAGGTGAACTTCACAGGAGGAAGAAGATTTCTACCTTTCTAAATCATTTACATTGGCACCATACTGATTGATGCACATTAGAGTAGGTTGAAAAACTGGTCATATTTGGGCCAATGGATTTATTACTGTATTTTTTGGTTAAACTTAATTGGTTGGTGTCTAAGCAGAAATTTATCGCTAATATTTCCCATTTATTTAACAAGGAAATATATTATAATAATATCAGATATTACTAACATTTTATTTAATTGCCCATTATGAGTTCAGTGGTTGCTTAACAAAATATTATACTTCTGCATTTATGATTTTTATTTAATTCTTGATCTTTTGTTTTTGCTCGTAGGCTTGCAATTTTTGTTTCCTTTTCTTTCTTTTTTTCTTTTGCCTCATACTAGACCATCATCACCACCACCATCACCACTTCGGTGATCCTTTACTCAATACCTTGATACCGGCCTCGTTCTCCAAAACACCTACAACATTTGTCTCTACTTCACCAAGTAATCCCAGCCTAGATGGTTTCCAATCGTTGTATCAGCCTTTAATTCCTCCACATAGGGGTAAGTCTCCATAAGCAGATTTTGATTTAACCGTGAATGTGATCTGTGGATTTGTTGAGGAGTGGAGCAGTAGTTTGGTGGTCCAGATGTTTGTCTTCCAATCCCAGCGTCTTGGGTTCAAATCCAAACTCAAGCCGCCTTCTCACAACTCTTTTTTTCCTAAGCCTTGCTTACAGCGTCATCACATTTTTTTTGTAAGTTCAAAATCAAACCAAAGTACTTTTATTGCAACTTTTGTACTAGGTAAATTTACATCATTAAGAAATATAATTTTTTTTATATACAATATACAAAACACATAACATCCAAAAGATCCAAATCAGTAAAAATAAAAAAAATAAAAGAAAAACCCCAAAAAAGAATTTAACATTTAAATATTGTTTTATTGAAAAGCATAAAAACTCAATTTTGAGAACATCATTTTCAAACTTGTAAACATCATTTTCAAACTTGTAAACATTCATTTAATTTAATATTGATATTGACTCATAAAGTAATAAAAGGGTTGATATACAAATCAAAAACATGATAAATAAGTCATAGGAGTGATGTTTTACCCTACCTCACGTCCTTTAACCAAATAGTCTGTACGTTCCCAAATACTTGCAAAAAAAACTCGGGTGGGAATCGGTAAGGTAAGGTAAGGAAAAACTTCTGTGATATTTTCCTGACGCAAACTCGCATTGAATTATAACAAAAAACTTGATTACATTACAATTAAGGCAAATCAATCTGAAATTAGTACATATTATCACCGCCATCAAATACACACTGTACACATACTTTATATTCTGAGGTGTTTTTTTTTAAATATTATTTTGGTTATCTTTCTGCAATACCTACTACTCTAACATGATACCATCTAATATCCCTTTAGGAGTAATAATACTGCGCTTTGGCATTTAATTCTGCGGATTAATAAAAACCTGGTTTCAATCAAATTGCTGCACGCTATCTCCACCAAGTTTGGCGATGGTGATTGGTCAATCAAAACGTTTGCCTTCATGATTGCGTCGAGTACATCTACGCAGAGTAACGACTGAATTGAAAACAGTGAGGCGACAGTATTTTATAGAGGCCAGGCTAAGTTGGTGTAAAATGGTGTATGTTGCATTTTTAACCACCTAACCTTACGTTTGACACTACTGCAACACCTACTCCCTACTCCTACTAATGATCTTGTGTGGATTGCATACAATTGTATCAGCTTTTTTTTAAATGTGTGGTGTATCCTTTTGTGTTTCTTAGGAAGCGGTTCTCAAAACAGGATAGGTTCAGCAACAGGTGTGCAAACTCCACCAGTACATGTCAAGTGTAGAGAACGACGGATGCACTCCACATCCGGTGAAAGATACAGTGGTAAAAAGGTTGGTTTGTCAGCTATTTTATTGACAGTGAAGTATTTGTGCAAAGATTTGATAACACCTAGTGAAAAACTAATCTATTGGGCAGTAGTCTTCATAAATTGTAGTTTAATGCAATGGAAATTAGATTGCATACGCATAAATGTATGTTTTGTATTTTATAAATATAAATGCAACAGGTATTAAGATGGATGAGCAAACATGTAGAGCAAGCATATGGTCACTGTTATGTATCTACAGTAGGATTGGACCCGACCCACTAATGTTAATGCTGGAATATAAATGTTTATCCTGCCAACAAAATCTCCCTTTCAAGTACTTTTCATCATTCATCACCATTCCCACAATTTCAAATGCCTACGTTCTCGAATAACCCACTTATGCAAGCCCATGAATCGCAAGTTAAGCTTGCTTTCCATACTGTCGCCGACAGCTTTCGATGATGCTGATTGGTCTGTCAAATTGGGGAGCCTTCCCGATTGTGTTGGTGACTGCTACGCTGTACAACGATTGCACTGACAACATTGTAGCGAAAGTGTAGCGATTTTATGGAAACCAGGCTTTAATATCCATTGAGCTATACTGTACATTTCCAAGTAAAACCTATTTTCTTTTCATGTCACTAGCCAAGAGAGAGAAGAGATTCTAATGATGACTGGGAGATTCCAAGTCCGGAGTTGACGTTAGGTCCCAGGATTGGATCCGGCTCATTTGGAACTGTGTACCGTGGTCAGTGGCATGGTAAGTCAATAATTGTTTCAGAATTCCAATACCCCTGGATGTAAATGAAAATTAATTTTTTGTAATGTGAAATGCAGTTAATGTATACAGTAATACTGTAGATCAGGGGTGGGCATAAAAATCGGTCGTAGGGCCAAAGTGAATTTTTGATTTAACACCGAGGACTACACCCAAACTTTGATGTTTCCAGTGAGCTTCCAAAAACCTGCAAGCATTGCTTTTACACCGATTTATTCTCTGTTTTAATGTTACTTATTACATATGATCGGTGTCGGGTCGGTAAAATCAAGGTTTCTAGCCATTGTTGCTTGGCAGGCCACACAAATAGGGTTTTTTATTTATTTTCTCGGGCCACAAAAAAAATCGCTGTCAGGCCACATGCACCCGCGGGCTGCACTCTGTCCATCTGTACTGTAGATGGTAGGTCACCCTTGGTCATTTCTGCTTGATTATGTAGGTGCTGTGGCTGTAAAGAAGTTGAATGTAACACATCCAACCCCATCTCAGCTGCAAGCATTCAAGAATGAAGTTGCTGTTCTGAGGTAAGTCAATAGATTTGAATTTAGTATGGAGCCAAATTTCCAGTGAGTACTTAAGGGGCTTCATCCTTCGCTTCCCTAGGGTCAAAGCCTATCAATGATTCCATTGCCACCTTTCCTTTACCTGCCTTTCCATTTGTTTTTTTTTGTGTAAAGCTTTGTTTCTACTGTTTGGTCTGTCCTTCCAAGTGTTGCTAGGGGCATTTTCCTCATCCTATCCATTGATTGGTTCTTTGATCTTTTAAGAAAAAGAAAGAAATAAGAAATTTAGTTTGGTTGATGTCTGATCACTATCTATACCCTCACAGTAATCGCTAGCTTCTTGCCACTTCCCCTCTTCCACATTTATTTCCACCATTGATATCCTCTATATACCAGTTTTTTCATTCAAGTACATAAACGTATTGGAGTACAATCAACCCTTTTGTGATTTCCATGTATATCCTCATACAGTAAGAGGAATGATAACATCTTACAACATCAGCTTCACCTATAAACATTTTTTTTTAGATTTAATGTTAATAATAATATGTGGCAAAGACAAGCCAAACCAGTCACTCTGTCACAAATCCTGTTTCAGAGATAATGGCCGAAACATTCTGGAATGTCAAAATCCTTGAAATCTATTTTATTGCACTAAACTAACCTCATATATCTATACATCATGCTATGCTGTTATTTTCCCCATTTTCAAATTAATAATATTTTAATAATATTAAGAAATGTCGGATTTAATTGATTCTTTTACCATTTTATAGCTCATTGCACTGTTTAACCCTGTATTAATATATTAATAACTAAAAATCAATTTTTGCGATGAGTGACTGGTTTGGCTTGTCTTTGCCACATATGATTATTAATATTAAATCTAAAAAAACATGTTATGTTAGACTTAGTGCTTCATGCCAGCAAGGCCTCTAAGCCCTTCGTATTATTACCCCCGGCCATTGAATCAAGCACATATGTAACAAATACTCGGCTCCCTGGTTAGAATTCCATAGTATTATAGCTGTAATCAGCGCTTTATTTTTAACCTACCAGCTGCCCACTTGTACTCTTGGGTTGATAGAGACACCGTAGGTAAGGTGCTTTGCCTCAGGGGCACAAGTGAAATGCACAGCGAGGGGTTGAGAAACAGAACCCTGAGCGCTTCACCAAACTACTTCTACTTTTACAAAGATTTGTATGCTTAGTAAAATAAAATGTGTTTTCAACATATATTTTAATGGAATAAACTCTTTGTAATATCCATCTTAGGAAAACTCGTCATGCCAACATTCTTTTGTTCATGGGATGTTTATCTGAACCGGACCTAGCTATTGTGACGCAGTGGTGTGAGGGCTCTAGTCTGTACAAACATCTTCATGTTCATGAACGCAAGTTTGAAATGTATGAACTAATTGACATAGCAAGGCAGATAGCACAGGGCATGGAGTAAGTACACACATATTTACTATATTTTAATTTGAGCTTTATAAACCAACTTTTTCCAGTTTATCAGCTCTGGCTACAATTCATAAAAATTACAAAATTAAACTTCAAAATGAGTGCCCCTGTGTTATTGAACAAAATGGTGTGAACTTGAGGTATTGGTAGCAAAAACTAAGCTGTTATAATTAGCTTACCCATAGATGTTATACTTTTACAGTAGCTTAGATGTACTTCAACAGATAGACATTCCAAAGATCTCAGCAGAAAACCGGGTCCAAAAATCTGAGACAATAAATGAACATGTATACTATGTCTTAAGCATTGTGCTTCAATATAACCAAATATGTTGTTTTAACACCATCAGTCCCGGAGCTTCCAGGGTGTTTGGACCCTGTGCCATCTCCATTGGTGGACATCGGCATCCCCCTCCCCACATATTTTCAATATACCGTGTCTGCATATATTATGTTTATGATGGAAGTGTGCTATCTATTTATATGTTCTATTTCTTTTTCCATTTTAGTTATCTTCATGCAAAAAACATTATTCACAGGGATCTCAAGTCTAATAGTATCCTTTTTTTCAAGATAATTATTGACAAAACTTTAGGACAAGTTCTTTGGAAGAATATTTTCACTGTCTTATTATCTTACTGCACTTAAAGCTAACTACGTGAATAGTTCTTGTCAAATTGCTGGTAGAGCCAAGCAATTTGATTTGATTGACAACTGTTTGTTTAAGTGTAATCATAAAGGTTCTGCACAATAATGGAAGGTAAAGATTGTAAACTGGTATAAATGTGAACAATTAAGAAACACTTATATTTGATGATTACTCTCTTTTTCCTAAGTATGCTAATAACATTGCATTTACCAGAATTTAAGGTTAAGGAGTTAATTTAAGGTTAAGGAGTTAATTTAAGGTTAAGGGGTTAATTTAAGGTTAAGGGGTTATTATTGTACACCATGCCAATGTTAGCATTTACTAATAAATTCATTTTTTTTAAAGTATGCTTATAACACTGCATTTACCATGATTTTAGGATAAGGAGTTAATCTAAGGTTAAAGGTTTAATATTGTACACCAGGCCAATTTTAGCACTTACAAATAAATACAACCTTCTGCTTTCTATTACCATCTTCTTCACAATCCTTAGCACTAGTGACTGCTTGGTTTTCTGTTTTAACAGATAATATTTGCAATTAGATTTTTGCCTTAACATCTGAATCAGACATTTTTTTACATGATGACTTGACGGTAAAGATAGGCGACTTTGGTCTGGCAACAGTCAAATCCAGATGGAGTGGGTCACACCAGTTTGAACAACCATCGGGATCAATATTGTGGATGGTAGGTGACCTGAAATAAACCGTCACAAGACTCTGCATTTTTATTTTATACAATGTTAGGCCAAGGATACCAAACAGCCTTACACACACAAGATGCACTACATCAGCGTTCCGCAAACTTTTAGACTGACGAGGCAGTTTGGAAATTCAAACACGAATCCCAACCCACTGACGTCTTTCCACACATGCCTAATTCAGAGAGGTAGCCCTAGTGCACTAAAAGTGCACAATAAGTACATACAATGCATACACAAAAATAAATATTACAACAAATTTATAATGAACAATGATGATTGCAGTCACATAGTACTTTGTTGTAGTATTTTTTTTTAGTAGTAGTTGTTTTATTTAATAATTGTTTTTATCTAGTAAATTGTATTGTTCTTACTGTAGCTTTTAAGCCTGTTGTTCAGGCTTTCACATACCTACTCGCTTATAGATGAGGATGAAATAGAAATAAATAATTGAAATATCAATATCAAGTAAATTATTTTAAAAATAGGCATTAAAAATTCATGAATTCAAATTAATAAATTAAAAAATATGTTTTAAGAAATAGATATTAATACAACATATAAAAGTGATATTAAATATTAATAATTAATGATTTCTTTTTTTTTCTAAAATAAATACTTTGATATATTAAATACAAATAAATACAAACTAAGAAACAGAATATAGTTTATTTTAGTCATGTATTAAGAACTGTTCTGTTAAACTCTGCATCTCTCAGGAATTGTTGCTACGGTCATACAAACTGCATCATAAATACATGTGAAAATGTGTTTGTGGGATTCAGGCAATGGCCATTTATGGGATTCAGGCAATGGCCATGTTCTAATTAGGCCTAAAAAAATGTTATGTTGGCATAACGGGCTCCAAACAATAGGGTAGGTAGGTAGGGAATTTTTTTTTTGTTGGACTGCCACAATATTCAGCAAAAGACCTTGAAATCTATAAAATCAATTAAATAAGCCTTTAAAGCCCCTGATTGTCATATTTTTCGCCCTTGGACCACTTTTGAAACATTTTGAATGACACCCGACCACGGCCATTTTGCTCACGTAAACTTGTATCGTGAAATTTAAATAAAAATGTCCAGGGTAGGTCGGGTTACGCCAACATTTTTTTTAGGCCTTAGTTAGTTGTTAAGGTTGATTGGCACTCTAGAAATATTTATTGGAAATTTTTTTTATGCAAGGTTTATTCATCTATTTAATAAAATTGTAAATGGCAGCCAATGACTGAAATAAATACTATTTTACATTTTTTAAATGAATAATTCATAATTTTATTTAACTCAAATAAGGGACTGATAGGTAACAAAGGGAACTAGTCCCTGTACAAAGTAACTATCAGAATAACATAACAATTCAGAATGCACAAAATCTGTAGGCCAATGTTATACTTAAGTTAATACTGTACAGTAATTACCAACACTCAGAATAAATGAATAAAAAAAGAAAATTATTTAATTAATAAAAAAAAAGTAAAGAAATAACAATGATAAAAAAAGAATATTGCAAATAAATAAGCAAGTAGGCCAATGTTATACAAATGCATATAAAAAGCAATTTCCGATTCTATTAGTCAAATCTACAAAGCCTCAGTAAACACTACAATTTATCATAAAAAAGGAAAAAAGAAACAATCCTAGATTGCCTTTATTTATATCTTAGAATAATTGACAGTGATTATTTTTTTTATATATTCTAGGCACCTGAAGTGATCCGTATGCAAGACCCGAACCCATACACATTCCAATCTGATGTATATGCTAATGGAGTGGTGTTATACGAGTTGGTCACAGGTCAATTACCATATAGTCATATAAACAACAAAGATCAGGTAAGGCTGGGAAAACTATATGAATATTCATGTTTTGTTCACGATTTCTGATCAAATGAATAACCATTGAACTAATAATAATAAACAGTAGAACTCAACCTTTGGGACACCCCTATTGGGGGACACATTTTTGGCTGCAAATTGAGGAAAAGTATGTTTTTTAACACCACAGTCAACCCCTATTCAGTGGACACCTATTAAGCGCACTTTTTGGACCCCGAAGATGTCTCTTTAATAATTCTACTGTAATTATATTACCGGTATTTTTAAGTCGCATCAATATATTTGGCATGTTTCTTATTTATGTCCTTAATAAACATACATCTTTAAAAAACATCTTCAAAAATTGAATAATATTGAATGAAGTTAATATTAACAGGATTTATATCCTTTTCAGAAAATGCTCTAGGTGCTTGAGAAACTATAGATAGAACAGCAGAAAACATCCCTTTATATATAATACATTGTAATAATTCTGTTATTTCAATTTATAATACATTACTTTTCAGATTATTTGGATGGTAGGTCGAGGTTACCTGCACCCAGAACCTAATAAAGCGAAAGGGAACACACCTAAAGCACTGAAGAGGTTAATATCGGACAGTTGCAAATACAATCGAGATGAAAGACCTTTATTCCCACAGGTCAGTTACAGATTCATGGCTTTCAATACATGTAGTTTCATTTGGATGGAAATTTTTAAGATTCATTTCATCATTGCTAACTTTCAATTGATAGCCTGCTACTGTGTAAGTTTTGTATACTCTTCATATGAAAATAATTAAAATTGAAAGTATTCTTATTCCACAGATTTTAGCTTCACTTGAAAGCTTGGCAAGGTCCTTGCCTAAAATACATCGCAGCACATCAGAACCGACCATTAACCGAGCAAGGTTAGCATCAGACGACTTCACTTACTGTCCCTCACCTAAGACACCCATTCAAAGTCAATTTGGAGCATTTCCACTATTTACCATCACAACTAACCACTTATAGGGTATGTTGTCTAACAGCTCTATATATCAGTGCAACTGACCCAAAGGAGAACATTTTGAGTACGTTGAGACAGCACCTCTAAAAACTGTTAATTGGACCCTATCTGTCAGTGAAGGTCAGAACGATAAAAGGTTGCGCTAATGAATTAAATGTTGACTCCATATCTTGCTCCCGTGGAGATGCAGACAAGGATGTATCAAATGGGAACTGCTAATAACTGAATAATTACAGAGAAACACTATTGTTGTTACTCATCATTTGCAAATCACCATTTTATGAATTTAGTTTTTATCCAGGAATATATCATGTTAAGTGATTTTTTTTTCCAAGAGATGTTTGAGATGATCCAGGTAATCATTCTATACTGTATGTCTCAACAAGGTTGTGATTCAGCAATGTTCAGCAAGACAACAGGTGTTGGTGCTGTATGTTGCTTTCTCCTGGCTAAACTTACTTGTTCCCTCGACATCGATCAGCATCTTTCAAAATGAACCATTCAAGATGATACAGAATTTTTCTTGTGTAATCTACCCGACTGGAAGCAATCTGAAGTCTAGATGTATGATAAAAATTCAAATGCATAAATACAATCCATTCAAGGAATTTCCGGAACTATACGAACATGTGTACATAGAGGTATCGACAATTGACCTTAGAGGAATAGGAAGGTTTTGTTCTGAGTTTTCAAAGACAGTACAACAATTTTGACAACTGTTCAAGAAGGAGTGAAAAACAGAATTATGCATCTACCAAATTAAGAGTTATTATCATAGGATTGGGGATTGAGCTGATCTGATTCAATTGATAAATTTTAAGGATCTTAATAACTTTGTCTTTGTACTTAAGCAAACCCTTTTCATGTAAGTTTCAATATGTAAGTTTGTTAACTGGCAAATAATCTTTTCTTAAAGTATGTTCGAAAAACAATTCCAAGACATGTATTCATAGTCAAGTAGTTACAAGCAATTGTGCAAACTCCTGTAGATTTTATAAATTTATGATCTTAAAACTTTAAAAAAATTATTTCATGTTAACTCCAAAGTATCAAATAAATATTCAATTTTATATTTAAATTATATTGCAACATTTTGGGACGTATCCATACTATCATAAAATGCTTCCAATGCCCAGTTACGTAATCATGGGATAGTAACTTACGTTGGGAGTAACTATTATTTTGTTTTGGTATATGGTTAAGTTATTCTTCAGGTTTAACCAAATTTATAACTTTACAATATTTAGGACAAAAATGAGTATTTTACCAGTTTTTGGAAGTTTGTGTCAGATTTAGTAAAATCTGTACAAATTTTTGGACCCTTCTATAAAAAGTATTAGGGTGATAGTAGATGTACAACGCAATGAAGTATTGAGATTGTTTGCTGTAACAGCGACGCCAGTGGAACGTACAAAGCATCTAGTCAGTGGAGAGATTGCTGAAACACAGCTACTACTTGAAATAAAAAAATTATTGGACTTGCAACTTCTGAACAATTACTTACTCTATGTTAAAGAGTTGAAGTAAAATAGTATTCTTATTGGAGAGGTTGTTGGAATAAAGATGCAATTTGAAAGTGTAAAGACACTTTAATTAGGATAGGAGAGGTATCATTGGGATGTGCAAGACATTGAATTATTGAAGAGTTTCTGTTATAAAGATGTCATTTCAACATGTTAAGTGGAGAACTTGCTGGGAAGAGATATTATTGTGATGTACAAGATGTCACTTGAATGTGTTGAGTGAAGAGCTTACTGGAAAGACATAGCTTGGGAAAGTACCAAACACTGAATTATTGAAGAGTTGCTGAAATACAGATGCCATTTAAAAGTGTTAAATAAGTTGAATTAGTGGAGAGCTTTTGGAGACAGTGATATCATATGGAATGTACAAGACACTGAAATAAAGAAGAATTGCTGAAAAAACATACTCAATTTGAAAGTGTTAAACATGCTTGAATTATTGGAGAGGTGTTTGGGAAAGAGGTCATTGGAATGTGCAAGACACTGAATAAATGAAGAGTTGCTGAATTTCATTTCAAAGTGTTAAGTAAGCTTACTGTGTGAAGTGGTTTCTGGGACAGAGATGTCATTGGAACATACAAGAACACGATGGCATTTGAAAGATAAAAAAGATGTGTAATAGAGTGATTGCTATCTAATGTTGAGTGCATTAACCCCATTTGAAACTACCTCCTTCGCCAAAAGCACAAGACTTATGTTGGAAAGATGAATATGAATTCAGCAAAGCTCCTAATGTTATTTTTTTGTATTTCTCTACATTTCCTGTATGAAATTTGTATTCTCTACAACATTTTCCTCTGTCTAAAATCCCAAAACATTTATATGTTTATTTGTTTCAAGTATTGCCATTTTCTTCGAACTCCTTATTATCTTCAGTTTGAATTTCATACTGTACTAGGCAGTTTAATGTTCTGCTGATGGTAGTAATGCACAGTACAATGTTGTATTGAATTACCTTAAATTTATGTTCATGCATGCGTGTGCATTTTTGGGTGGGTGTTTTTGTCAGATGGATGAGGATTGGTTATTGTTCGGGTTTTTGGTATCGGGGTCAATGAAACTTCCGATTTCATAAATATATATGTGTATATATCTGTCTCTTATACACATCTAGATGTGTATAAGAGACAGCTTAATAACTTTAGGTCACACAAGTCCCACAAATATTCACCAATTTTTCAATTGTATTTTCACAGTATGACCAGTTTTTCCAAAAACATAATTATGTGGCCAACAAAATGATCTAGTGTTTCATTATAAATAGAAATGATTTATATAAGTTTTTGCTACCTTATATATAATCTATATTGGATTTTCCTTTTTTTTTTATCTGGGTTTCCAAATTTCTGAAGACGATTTTTGGTTTGTTTTCAAAGGTGAAACAAACAAATACTTCTGAGATTCAATGAAGACGAATCTGTTGCACACTACCAATGTGTCAGAAAAGCTCATATTATATCAAGGTTGCCTCTTTAGTCCTGTGTTTATGCCCGTGACGTCACAACACGTTGAAATGTAAATGCTGTGCAAATACTGTAGTTTGTCAAAAGAAACGTTAGTGTTGCCTGTTGTAATTTCCAGTCCCAGCTTGTAATCCTCTTTGGTGGTTGCTATTGTGATTTTGTATTTACTACCATATAGTTCCCAATTTATACTTAACACAATTTGTCAATTAATTTATTGCAGGTATTCGTTTACAAACGGATATACTCTTTCAGTTTACTGTGCGTAGTTATATTCTTATTTTATATTTAGATAGAATTTGGTATTAGTATATCTTGTATAGTGAACTGTTACTTCTAGAATGAATAATTCGAATCTCTTTGAGATTGTTCTGTTATATAGTTATTTCGCCTTTGATTTGGTATATGTATAGTACCATAATTTGCATAAATATTTTTAAATACATAATATGTCGTTTTGATGTACTATTGAGGATGACGGTTAAAAACTTAACCTTTTTTTGTATTGATACATAGATATTATCTGCAATTACAACAAATACATCATCTGTAAATATATATAGATTATTCTCTACAAGAGAAAAAGTGCCACTGGTGGTGTTATCTAAGAAAAAAATAGATTCAATTGTAGCATGTGGAACTCTTATATTGAACCTAGCTCGTTATATTATGCAATTTCCAGCTAGGTTAACGTTATAGAGTTAAGGGCTTTGGAGGGGACTTGTATGAAATGAGATTAGCTATTATGTATAAACAAAAAAAAATCCGCAGTGCAATACACACAAAACAATTTTTCAAGTACACAATATACACCATAAAAAAGTACCGTGTTGCAGATGCATGCGCTACCTTGTGGAATCGTTAGCGTGGACAAAAACAAAGAATACTACAGGTTAGCGCATCGCTGTTGTAAACTAACACAATGAAGAATACACACGCCACGTGACAGACGTGGATGCAAATGTTAACGCATACCTTTGTGGTGGAAGATTTTTTTAACATGGTTGTGTGCGCGTATCGTAGCAGAGGATATATAGTCTTTGTTTTTTTGTGAACAGACTGGTTTTTAATGTGCATACTTCATCATGAGGTTAACAATGCAAGTTGAAAATATTTTTTTTTTTGCATGACGTGACAGTTATACTTATCCGCATTTTGGCCTAAATGGAATATGTTAGTATGTTATGTTGATCATTGTAACTGTCAAATCTCGACTCTGTAGGCCATACCATGAGGACTGTTAATTGTCCAATGAGATCAAGTGCTTTGACTGTCGTCTATTGGTGAACTTAAATGTGTACTGCAACGAAATGTATTTGGCCATTAAAAGTAATAAATGCGGTGTAAATTTCCATTTTCTAAAGTTTTGTCTGATTTGCATTTTTTCTGTGTTTGCTTTCCATTTTTACATTACATTACTCCATATTTATTTTACATTGGTTTATTTCCCAATGGCATTTTCTTTGTCGACATCCTCACAAAGATTAAGAATTTGGGATAGTGCCTTTTCCGATAAATTATTGTTAATTTTAATTTCTTTAGCAAGCATTGGTACAATAATCTAAACAGAAGTCAATATTTACGTATAAGCAAAATAAACTCATGATAAATTTCCTTTTGGACGAAAGCCTTTTGATCCAACTGGATCCGAATTTTGACGATTTGCAGTGCCATGGTGGCAACCAAAAATAACGATATTTCTCACTATATCATTGATTAAAACTCCCTGATAACTATATAGCCAACGTAGGATTATAGCTAGATGAGAATACCCAGCATCTACTACAGAGTTCCTTATACAGTACAACATCAGGGGCGTCGGAAGTTATTTTTATTGGTCCGGCCAAATATACATAATCATTGCATTAACATGACTTCTTTTCATTAGCTTTGTCTATAGCTCAAGACACGCACTATTCTATTATATCAATCATTCATACTTGTACTAAATATATCATTTAACCATTCATGCTTTATCATTTATATTTGTCACCATTCATAAATATTGTTGGGCAAATTCACATGTGGATTTGTGATTTCCTTCTGCATCGTACTCGGTGTTATTTTTAGTGGAGAATGCTCTGCCTGTTTTTGTTCAATCCGGTGTCCCTCAGGGTTCCATACTGGGGCCGCTTCTTTTTATCCTATTTACTAGTGATTTGCAAAACGCTGTTTCATCTCCCACCTCAATTCATGTATGCAGTTGATACTGTTATTTTTAGGTCCATTTCTTCTGATGAAGATGCCATCAAGCTGCAATCTGAATTGAATAATATTGCCACATGGAGTCATGAGAATGGTATGGTCTTCAATCCTAAGTCAGTTTTTCTTCCAATATCTCTGCGCCAAATCCCATTGCTATTTTCATACAAAGTTAATCATATTGAAATTTCACGCCAGAGTGAGCATAACTACCTTGGCGTTATTATTCAATCAAACCTAATGGCATCTCCATATTCAACCAATTTGTAATACAGCCAACCGAACACTTGGTTTTATTAAACGTTTCACTGGCCGATCTAAACTTTCACTCACTATTAGATTATGCGTCCCCAGTATGGAACCCCTATATGGAGTGTGATATTGCCAGGATTGAAGGCATTCAGAGAGATTTCACTAGGTATTATTTTGGCCAGACTTGTTCTCTTAGGATTGGGGATATTGGATATATTTCCTATGAGGACCGGATGGCTGAATTGGGTTTTGTTTCTCTTTAAAAAAACGTCGGAAAGTCATCGATATGTGATTTTTCTTTAAATTGTTCAACAGCACAATTATTAACATGTTTGACTTCATCCTTAATGTAAGAAAAGAATATCCTACTCTTTGTAATAGAAATCCCCGATGCAACGAACTTGCTCATTCTTTTGTCATAGAATTATTGACTGTTGGAATTGCCTTCCTTTACATTTATTTAAGAAATTTGTTAAGGAATCGTTCATATAACTCTTTTGTTTGACTATACGTTTTGCCGATGAGTGCTTGTGGATCCCAAACATTTATTGTACAGGAACTCCGTTCCTTTTGGTATGCCCGCCTCCCCACTCACCAGCAATCTGTATACTCTTTGTTTCATTGGATTTTCTTTCAATTTTAATGTTTTAATCTTGTATTATATATATACATATATTTTTTATGGAGGAAATAAATATAATAATAATAATAATAATAATAATAATAATAATTATTATTATTATTATTATTATTATTGTTATTATTATTATTAACGTACGTACAAGTAATAGTAGTTAAACATTGCTTTAACAGTAGAACTGATATTTTTTTTAAATGATGTATTTTTACTAGCCGACGTACTACCATACGGCCTGCTCAGTATGTTGCAAAAATACTCAAAAATAATTGACACGTATCGTCTCGAACCAGGGCCGTAGCTTATGCTACGGGTTGTACGCATGTATATTGGGCGGCCTTAGCCATTTCATAGTAATTTTTTTTAATCAAAAAAGTGTAAATCGATCCGTTGAATTCACCTAGCTTAATTCGAAAAACATTTAATAGGTTTACTAAATAATGCATAGCATGTATACATAACACATGTTTTCTTTAATTAGCATGCTGTCATTATTTTATAGCAAAATGCTAGGTTTTTATAGTTTTAATCTTTACTAAAATGCCTGGTTTTAAACAGTTTTAAACAGTGATATTTTTTTTAACTTTTTGCTACTTAACTATTTTAAATTGTTAATATCCTAACGTATTTCTCGTCATTGCCAAGTTGTTTTGTCGTGTGATTTTTAATATAAATTTTTCCTTATTAACCAAGACTGTTGCAAAGGAAAAACAAATTCCTATTTCAAAATAGACAATAAAGTGTTCTTGAATCTAGAATCTTTTTTAGGTACCGGTATTTCACAACATCCGTCAACTTCCGTCAAATATAATATACCTATAGTCATTGTTATTCATATTGCATAATATAAATGCGTTCGTGTTTCTTGCACTTTATTCATTCATTGAGGAATAAGCATCTCATTTCATATAATTATGGAATTGATAACAAATTTGAATAATTTATTTATATATAATTTTTGCTAAACACTTCTTCCATATTATTTTAAAATCTAATTGTGATTTGGTCATTATTTTTCTATATATAGCATTCTTAAACTGTGTGATGACTGTACTCTCGACTAGTTTCACCACTGGGAAGTAGCAGGTTCGAGGGAGGTCCCAGCCGCCCCCCCCCCTCCAAATTTGAATGTGCAAGTTATGTTTGATCGCGTCAGAGAAAGTAGAATTTGGCTTACAAATGATATTGAGTTGTAAATTATTGGTCCGGCCAAAACCGGACCAGCCGGACCGTTTCCGACGCCATTGAACATTGAACACCGCGGATTAGTAGGATTAGGCTACACCCAAAGCTTAGCAAACTTAGGTGTTAACTTGTGCATTTAAGAGCAAAATAATATGATTGGCTGATGAGGCCACATGGCAACACTTTTTTTCATTTTCTGTTATATCCAGGTTTTCATAAATTGAGTACCCGCTAAATGGTAATTTGCTATAGACCTAGATTATCAACAAGAAACTGTCGATCAAAATGCGCCATACTCGCCGCAATTTATAATGCAAGAGCCCGTGTGATATACGCGACAGGCAGGCACTCAGTTGCAGTTGATCAAAGACACTTGCCAATTACGCAACCTGTTACCATCCATCAAGATTTCTCGCCCCATGATTTATCTATCCAGATTTCTCACCCCATGATTTCGCGGCCACGTGGAAATCGGACACCCTAGTCAAACTTTTTTTGATAGGGTGACCATGAACTTTGGTATAATATACCAGTATTATTGGCGAACCAACCCATATCTAACTAATTTCTTCATAATTTCCTCTTGGAAGCATATTCTTTATTGATTAAAAACGTCAAGATGATTGATTAATAGGTCTAGTGAGTCATTATCATAAAACAAATGGAGAAGGTGGGAGATAATAATAAAGAAATTAATTATCATAACCATAGAACTGGGACGATGCTTATATACTGACCGTTTTAAATTGTATTGTTTAGTACCAATCTATTATTACAAGTCAGATTTAATCTACGGAAATGTTCCCAACAAAGTAATTCATGGCGTGACAGTGTACCCTATTTATGAAAATTTTCCAGGAACGTTTCAATCAATTCCTTGATATGTAGTACATTTTTAAATTAATTTATATGCTATTTTTTTATGCTAATTCAAGTCAAATATTCTTAAAAAGCAATTGTTTTAATGGTAAAATTTATTAATCAATATTGCCAAACTTAGTTTTTTTATTCAAACATTGTACGAAGAGTAATAAGCATACGTAATCTAACAGAGGATTATTATTTTTCGGGTTTTTATTTTGTTCTGAAATGACAGCACACTATGGCGCAGCAAAGTCGCGAATCTTGTAATTTACCACCTTGTAATGGATAAACGTGAAATGTTAGACAATTTTGACTTGAATGTACTTTATTTGAAGAGCATCACAACAAAAGGAGGCCTACGACTTTCACGTTACTTAAATTGTTTCTTGTATAGCGCGCGCTTTTTCTTGAGGATCACCCCATAGAATGCATACCTCCGCCCTGTCCCCGAATACAGAATGAGAATGATGAAGAAAGACAAACATTTTACTTTCCATAACTTTAACCTTAAGCCGCGAGCACTCACTGCATAGTAGGCCTACGACGGTCGCACGACGAATCACTCCGCTCCCTGTAAGCGCTAGAAGACGGGGCGCCGTCTGCTTTGTCGGTGGCAGCATTCTGAACGGATCGTCATGAAAATTAATCCGTTGCGTGCGCGTCGTGGCGTTGCGTTCTCTCAATAAATTCGCGTCGGCCGACGACCCTCGGGCGTCGATGAATTCCCGGACCTTTTTACCTTTTCTATAGACCAATATGAAGCGCTCCATTGAGTTTTATGGTGACACAATCATTTGGTTTTGCCTATCTTTTGATTGCTAGTTTTTCAACATTTCCTTGACCTTGACCATTGATATTTTAATCCAGAAATTTAATCACCTCTTCCTTAGACCTATGACGTCTCATCATTCTGTGTTAGTTCAAAGTCAAATGTCCGAGGTTTTAAAGATAGGGGCACGTTTGCCTATGGTTGTGGGACAGGCTTAGTCACAATTATGTGTAAATGTGTTTGTCTAGATCCTCTGTTTCTTTGCTCTATGTCTAGATCCAAACTGGCTTTGTAGGCCTACTTAATATCAAGTCTCAAAAATGAGATTAATTATGACATTATACTCAATGATTTTATAAAAACATCACGAGATAAATTAGTCGATTTAATTATGGCAATATGTTTTAACATCTCCACTTTGAAAGACTGAGATTACATTTGTAATTCTAATAATCAGCAATTCAACATTTCGACCAGGAGATACGATAATTTTGACAAAGTTGGCAATTACTTTATTATGACCGGTTGATGTGTTTTTTTAGAATGTTAATATATTTTAATTCACAGTTGGTAATAGGCTTAAAAGCATTGTAGAAATATTATTATATTAAATGTATAAAAATTCTGAGTTACTAATATTGATTTAAAAAAAAACAATTGAAGGCATAGTTATGGTTGGACGGCATCGATACCAGATATTATTTCAATTGATACATTTCTCTTTTTTTAACTTGTTGTATGTTCCGAGTGTTTACATTTTTGTTACTAATCCAGACTTAATGTAATTTCTGTAGTATCCCAATAGGCCTAGTAAAAGTTTTAAAACACAATGATTTGATTTGATTTGATCCGGCTTTAAACAAACATACACAATGTAAATAAAAAACATAATAATTAGGGAAAAAAATACAATAAAATACATAGTCATTAAATATTAAAACATTAAAAATCGACGAAGTCAACAAGGTAGAAATTACAAATATCAAGCATTTTTATAAAATAATAACATCAATGGACAATAAAAAGTCCATAAAAATTAAATGCTCAAAATAAAGTCACCACAAACAAGATAAGGCCTAGTAAAAGTTTTAAAACACAATGTTTTGATTTGATTTGATTTGATCCGGCTTTAAACAAACATACACAATGTAAATAAAAAAACATAATAATCATAAGAAAAAAAAATACAATAAAATACATGGTCATTAAATAATAAAACATTAAAAATCGACAAAGTCAACAAGGGAAAAATTACAAACATCAAGCATTTTTATAAAATAATAACATCAATTGACAATAAAAAGACCATAAAAATTAAATGCTCAAAATAAAGTCACCACAAACAAGATATGAGTAATGTCAGGGCAACTTTTAATCATTTCTACATATCACGGCAAATAACAAAAGGCCACGATGAAGGTAGTGAACAGAGCGGATTAAGATATGAAAGTTACGTAAATTAACTGTAAACAATAACCAAGCTCAACAAATTGTTTAACTTTAAGATTGCTTAAAGTATAAAATACTGTAAGAACTTCAAATGTGTTAGGTTTCTTATCTCCATGGCAATCGTGGAGGTTAGTCCATGACCTAACTCACTTCCACAGCGGTAGCTCACTTCCGTCATTTTGAAATTTACCGTCCCATTGTTCTAGTTTATGATACCTTTTCTTCAAAGTTGCCGCGAAACTTTTGATATATTTTTCTGCCATGGCAGTAATTACCATATATGATGATAATTATAGCTGCCTTATTTGACGACTATCTATTGCACTTCAGCAAAACTGACCTTACATTCAATATTTAATTACTATGTTTATTAATTTGTTTTCTAAAATGTTCAAGTAGAGAAACTTATGCCATATAGGCCTAATAAGACTTAATTAAAAAGGAAACCTAAGAATTTTTAATGTGCGTTTATGGTATATAGCAACATCATCATAGTTTATATTAATTTAAGTGCAGTACAGTATAATCTTCAGCAAACTGACCTTGCATACCGTACTTGTTTTGTTTATAATATATTTTCTGAACTGTTCAAGAAACTTGGTTTAATTCGACCTACTTAAAACCTAATCCCGGGCTTCGTTGTTTTTACAATGTGCGATTGGTGTAACAACATCACAATAGTTGAGATTAATTGAATTTTATTCTCGATCATAATATTATTACATAAAAGAACATTTATTATCCATGGCACAACACATCTAGGATATTCTATGTTCGTATTTATTAAGTTCCTCTAGTTTTTTTTTTATCTTACTTTGGTTTGCAGTGAACTGTTCCAAAGAATAACAATTGAATTTACAAGTTGGTTTTTTCTTGGCTATCCAAATTGACCTGATATTTTGATGGCCTTCTCAGCTAGTTTGTGCGTTTAGTTTGATTTTTCATTACGTTTTTTAGTAATCAAAAATGATAATAGTCATTCCAAAAAAAATATTATAATTTGTATCTTAAAAGTCTATGAACCTTTGATATTTGATTGACTGCGGTTTTTTTTTCTCTTTCTAATCAATCATGTATATGTAGTGAACAATAATTTTTGAGTTAACCAACTAGTGAAACTGATGAGTTGAACAGAATATACGATGGATTAAAATAATAAGGATATTACCATTTTTTCACAGATACAGCTAATTGGCATCAGCTAATGATAAAATGGTTGTATTTTTCAGAGTTGTATTTTTAAAAAGTATCAATAGAATAATTTATTCAAACATTGTTACTACAAATTTCCAATTCATTTAGATACCACAGAACATTATATTTCGGTAAGATTAAGTAGACTACTACTTTGTGTTGATATTCTCATTAGGGTTTTATCTTTACCTTTCTTCACCATAATAACTGGTACTGGTATGGGCTTGTTTGAGTCATACTCACAGTATTGTACGCTAGCAAATATAATTATGTCATAATTGTTAGGGCTTTAAACAACTAACTACATGATGAAGTAGGCCTAATGTAATCAATTGTTCTATTGTTACTCGTTCTATGGAACATCCTGGATACTATTAGTATTACTAATCGTCGGAGATCGAGCTGTGTAATCAACACGTACACTCCTCATTTGAACATTTCTCCAAAAATCTTGAAAGAGTTTCTTCATTCCTTGGTGGAAACTTGGTAAACGCCACCAATATATCAAAGGATTCAAACCTGCCTGAAGAGTCAACAACACCATTGGAATTCCTTGCGCAATTGTTAAACAATCGACCGCTTGAATTTCGGTTTCGGACGAAAATACGGCTTGAGGAAATGTTATGCAGAGCGGTAACCAACAAAATACAAATGTGGCCGTTAAAATTAATAAAAGATTAACAACTCTCTGGTTCTCTTCTCGTCTCTCATCACTCATAAAACTTGACGAATGAGAGAGAGATTTCAAAATAGAGATATTTAATAGCGTGATGATTATCACTATAAAAAATATTAAAATTGGACTGACGATGAAACCGACGACAGCGAATGAGATAATCACAGGACTTGCCAAAACTAGAATACCAGAGAAAATCCAAATAATAACACTTGCAATTATATTCATCGTTGCAGATGATACTCGTTCGTAATGTAGAGGATGTGTGATAGCCAGGGTACGGTCAAGAGTTGCACCAAGGATGCTCAGAGTTGCAATAATGGAGGTAGTATTGGCACATTGGATAAGAAGCTGGGATGGTTTGTGTGTCGTCCACGCCAGTAAAAATCCAGTTAGAAAATCTGATAACGACAAACTCATCAGAAATATGTAACGTTTGTTGTGAAAATGTTTTATGTACAGCAACGTAAGTAATATGACGAAATTATCAAATATCGAGAAATACGAAAAACAGGATTGAAGTTTTAGGTTGATTTGTTGAAGAATTGATAAATCAGACGCAGGTACTTCAGTTGCGTTCATATAAGTAGACATTGTCGAGTGTCAGCCTGACGTTTTCATTTCAAGTAAAGTCTTCTTGCTGTCTACAGGTCTATTGCGTTTATGGTAAAACTACTTCCTTTAAAAAAATCTGCTGATACGTAAGCATCTACTTATATCTGATTAAGTTCTGCTGGAGTTCTTATCCTAGAGGCGATTTTTGTATCACTGTTGTTTATAAGGATGAACATGAAATTGAAAAAATAATAATAATTACCATCTTCATTTCTGCTACTACAACGACCAATAACCATTCAGTATTACATATTGATAATTAGTTGAAGACAATTAAATAGGCAGCAGACGCCAAAGCAGCGGGTTCAGAATCAACTGTATAATAATACAATACAATACCATACTCTTGAATTGGATAAATGGTATACACGCTACGCGATTATTTTTTAACAGGCCAATATGATTGCTACAAAAAGTGTACATAATATTTAATTTATCTTGTTTGCATACTCAATTTACTTGTCTTGTCTATGTTATAGGTAGCCTGCAGCTTTGAATGGTGGGGGCGGGGCTCGATAATTAAGTGAGGATTAGCTAGCTCGCAAAATAAGGTGATTTTTAACTACTTGAAGGTAATTTTTTTGCTTCGAATTCCAATAGGGGGCAACACTTCCTCGAAACGCCACAGCTTCTGCTGTAGGACGTGAGTGTTCCTAAATAAAAATAAATAAATAAATATATACTAGGCATTTGCACCAACGAAATGTAACTCAGGGATGGATAAAGGGGAGATAAACAAGCTTTAGTCCACTATTAAATAATGGCAACATGCGTGTTTTTTTTTCATGACTGAAATAATTTGCCCCGAAGTTGGCCTATTTAAAACCTTGATTTAAGACCTTTAAAATATTAGTTATCAACCACATCCGCGTCATGATAGAACCATACTCCCATGGTGGGCGGAGGTATAGGTGTTGATTCACATTATCTGGTAGTTTTGGTAGCTTCTAACGAAAAATCCTGAATCCGCTATCAGCAACAATTTAGTAAATATTTTATGACGTCGTAGCAATCTTGAGCATACTGTCATAGGCTCCTAAAGTATTTCTACAATAATTAATGGGTTTCTAGCCTTTGGACGAAATTGTATTTTTATTGACAATGGATGACAGACAATGAAAATTATCTAATTACACATAGTAATATAGCACACAACAATTAAATGCATACATTAGTATCAAAACGTTCATTTTCAAACAAATACAACGATGTATTCTATAAATATTATTAGGTTTCCATTTTTTAGAACGTTTCACCTGGCAATGTTAAGCGTAATATAAACAAATAATGTCAACATTTCTCACCTACAAGGACAAAATGGCGTTTTTGATTGAAAATCCAAACTTTGATAGCAGCAATATAAACTAATTATAAGATATTGATATCACACCTACTTTATTGCAGGTATATTAATATAAATACTTTAAATAATAATTGGTAATGCACAACATAAACACGGTAGCCTGCATTGGTATTTAGTTTAGATTCATGTTAGTTGTTACTTGTTCCACTGCATGCCTCATCATTTCTCCATCATTGTCGCTGATGTGCATTCTGCATCCTGCTTATTAAAAAAATATGAGCAATCTTGAATAACTTTAACAAAATTGTTAAACGACTCTGAATGGCTTTGAAATACATAGAAAAAAGTATAATCGAGCTTTAGTAGCTAGTGTTCACAATTAATTAATTACAGATATACAATACTGAATACAATTGACATAAGTTGAATAAATATAGCTTGATTTTTCACTCCCATAATAAAAGAGAATACGTATAAAATGACGAAATATTCAAAACTACTCTTGTGGATTAGCATCACTCTTAAGGTCATTTTCGTATTCTCTTGAATACAATTGTTTTACAGAAACACACCTACAGTTACAAAAAAAAATAGGATAAAATTGTTAAGAATACTGTATACGGATGTAATTATTATCTTAATTAATGTTCTTGTTTGCATACGCTTAGGGCTTAAGTATCTAATATCGCCAATGTCATCATGTGTTGCGAGTGGCTTCTCTTATGCTGTATGCCGATCTAAGTTGACACTCTATCCAACCAAATCAAATAATAATTTATCCGAATGACTGACGATAGACAAGGCCGTAGGCTGTCTCTTATACACATCTAGATGTGTATAACCAATCACTATTAACACGTCTACCAAACGCCTCCACAATTGAACCCTCATAAAGCCAAATTTCATTCTTTCGTAAATTTAACAGAAAAATCTAGTACTTTTATAGTAGAATTATCTTTTATATTCCAAGCTCATTCTGCATTGGTGGTGCCAGAACTTACTCGACGGGGTCCAAAATATGGGAAAAAATACATATTTTTTTCTCCCTGACAAATTGTGTTTTTCTCCCCGACACGGGATGGAGTGGAAGCTCATTCTGCACTGGTGGTGCCAGAACTTACTCGACGGGGTCTGATCTCTGGGAAGTGATCCGGGGGGCAAAGCCCCGGGAAAACTATGCAAATTTAGAGGTTTCAACGGCTTAGTTAATAAATTTTGTCTACTACCGGTAATATGTAAAAAAATTACATATAATTTTTTTTCTCCCTGACGAATTGTGTTTTTCTCCCCGACGGGATGGAGTGGGGCAGCCTGGTCCACTGGCACCACCCCTGCTATTACGATAGTTTCGTAAGTTCTTGCAGGTAAGAGATATGGTTAGGTTATTTCCGTAATGATGACGTATTTAGGACAAACTTGTTTTTAGCAACAAAAAACCTTTAATTGCGTTCCGCCTGAAAAGATGACCTCAAAATGTAAAAACACTATTGTTCAATGTTCAAGCAATGGAGTATGGGGCCTCAATACTAAATTACATACGGCCTTACAGTTTAGAGAATAAAAAAATTTCTAATAGCTTCTGACCTTTGTAAATTGTTATAAGAATTAAGTAATATATCTGTAACGAACAACTAAAGAACAAGCACCTTGCTCATCATAAAATCACTTATTATCGTTGATTAGTAGTAATGGTTGCGTCCCTGAGTATACTGTAAGCTGATGGTTATGTGCTAAACCATGTCCTTTAACTAATTGCTATGAAAAGGCGTGCTCGAAAATTGAAAATCGTTTCCAATTTTAATTTTTAATTTTCTAATTCCACAATTTTAGAATTTGAAATTTTCATTTTAATTTGAAATTTTCATTTTAGTTTTCGATTTTCTGATTGTTCAATTTTCTAATTTAGTTTATTTTCTCATTTTTGCAATTGTGTGAATTTCCGACTTTTCAAATTCTTATTTTTAATTATGTATATTCAATTGATAGTTTTCACTTTTCGATTTTCGATATTCAATTCTTCTTTTTTTTTTTTTTTTGCTTTTGCACTTATTGTTTGCATTTAAATTTTTGCGTTTCGTTTTTTGCTATTGCTTTGGCTTTTTGCTTTTCCGATTTTGTATTTGATTTTCCATGTTTAATGATAATAGAAAATAATATTCATACCGCGCCATTCAAATAAGAAAAATAAAGGCACAACATTCAAAAAGAAAAAAATATAAATTAAGACACAAAGTGAGCAATAATTCAAGTAAAAAGCTTTAGTAAATAAGAAAGTGATGAGATTATTTTTGATAGCGCGGGCTTCTTTTTGATATAGTACAGTACATACACTGTACACGAATTTTAAAACAAAATACAAAATAAATTAAAAACCCGCTTGGTTATAGTTTAAGTGATCTAATACCAGTTAATACCCTCCATGATACAGACTGATGTTACAGTGGCCCTATTTAGTGTTTTAGTAGACCTCCTCTTTAATTTGCAAAAGTAGCCTCGAACAGAAGCCCATCCCCAGTCTAAAAAAATGGCTTCTTTTCAAAGTTTTACGGTATAGAAGTAAACTAAACAAATTATAGGCCTATTATGTAAAAGCACATTTAACAATTAGAAAATTGAATCGGTACCGGTATTATTTTTTGAGTGCCCGGCCCTTGACAGGTACCCTAGGAGGCCCGTTGCCACTCGACCGGGAGCAAAAGCCGTGTGGCAACGGGCCAGGTGGCAAAAAGCCGGTTGGAAAAAGCTTGGGTGGCATCGTGCCCCACAGGTGGCAACGGGCTGGAACCCCTTTACTGTATATCTACCATGTTGACCTCGCTCACCTCGCATTACTGTAAATCCTCAAATAAGCGCCGCCCTCGATTAAGCGCTGTACCAAACGTGATTTTTTTTTTTCGCTAAGTGCCGCGGCGTTCTTCAAGAGTAACTACCGTACCCTGTGTGTAAAGAAACACTTTTGAGAAAACATGGTTTTAAATACAATGTATACAGTGTTCAAATGAATAAATAACACAATGAACACAAACACATCTTTATAAATGTTTATTTACGATGATGTAGGGCTTAAGATAGGCCTACCGAACTACGGGAATAGGCTACACGAGATAGGTAAAATGGGAACGGGCATAGAAAGCGCCACGCCAATTATTTAGTAAATGTCGCTCTCGAATAAGCGCCGCGCTGAAGCCTAGCTCCATGAAGTTTATAAGCGCCCCGGCGTTTATTCGAGAATTTCGGGTAGGTCTATATGATTATCAGATGAGGTAAAGGTGTAGAACCCATATACTAGTTCTATATAGTGTTAGAGAATTGATGGTTTGAATTACTTTCATCATTGGCATGGAGCCTAGTTTTGACTATTTTAATGAAATGAAATTATATTAATGTTTCAGGTTTGAAGCCAGTGCGACATGTCACACTTGAAATAGACCTATGTCACACGTCTTTCTAACCTTGCTTTTCCCATTCTATCGTAATTCAAAAACTCAAGAAATATTACCTTCACTAATTTAACCAATAGTCAATACTTCATTAAAACCACTAATCAAACTTCTTTCTGATGGCCAATTTGGAGATACAGCATCCTTCAATAGGTTAGAACAAATTGCCTTAGTAATTCTTTTCTAAAACCTTCTATTTATAATTTGGTGAAAATGGGTTAAAGTTGTTACTTAAAGCTGCGGGTGATTTCCATAATGAGTGTAAAATAAGCTATGGAAAATCGAATGTTTTAATCACAGGAAAGCGTATTAAATAGATTTGTGTAAAAATAGCGCGGCCTAATAATTAAACACATAATGCTTATACTTTCGCTCACCCGCCAACAAACGTTGCATTGGTGAGGTTATTAAAAAGCTAATTGAGTGAGAGCTTATATTAGGTCAATCGTTAAAAGGGTTTTTATATGAATTTACTCTGCATGTAGGCCTACCTTTTGGTTCTGTAATGACAGGACGCCCTTAAAAGACTCGGAAAGTACGTATAGCCGTGTTAGTCTGCTATAAGACAGTATAAGAAATGACAACAGCACTTTTAAGACTAACTTAAATAACATAGCTCTAGGTTTTGTTCACACAGTGCACTTTACCAGGAGACTGCACTTTCCCGCGATCTAAGTTGACACTCTATCCAACCAAATCAAATAATAATTTATCCGAATGACTGACGATAGACAAGGCCGTAGGAAGCGGTCCGGCTGGTCCGGTTTTGGTCGGACCAATAATTCACCAATCAATATTGTTTGTATGCGCGCCAAAATTGTCCTTTTAAGGCAACATAGATTTTTTTTAACAGAATTACAGTATTGCGCTGACTGAGCACACACAACTACACACTCACACCCAAACAAACACACGAAAATGATATTTTAAAAGTAATTGACTACCAAGCAAGTGAATAAAGAATTTCCAACATCACGGTACTTTCTTAAGAATAATTATACGTCCTTCATAGAGATTTCAGAAACTTGCATTAATTTACACAGACCAGACCTGTCTTTTTCAAAAGATAATGTACTGCTCAATACTTCATGAATCAAAAACGAATATTATTATATTCCAATATGTTATAAACATACATAGATATTATTAAGACTAGTCACCAGTTGAAAAATCACTTGCAGGTGTATTTGTATACGTATTTCTTTTCAAAATAAATTGTAAAATTGATACTTTACTCCTATATAATTAGATAATTAGTACTCAGCAAATTTAGAGTTTACATTTATTTCCTATCAAACAGCAAATGAACTCATCCCTTGACAAAGCTAAAAAGTGAACAAAAAATCAACAATATTCCAATTCATGTTATAAACAGATAGATATTATTAAGACCAGCCACCAATTGAAATCTCCTTGCAGGCGTATTTCTAACGTATTTCTCTTCATATCAGAGTAAATTTTAATGTGGATAATTTTTCAATGAAAAATAAATGCTGTCTCTTATACACATCTTAGCTTGATTCTTATTTTTTAGATTTAGTACGCCAGCTTTTAATCAAAATTGGAATGATAAAATTGTTCACACTAATTAAAATACGCAAAATAATTCGTTAATATTTTGATACTTTTAGACTTAAGTACAATCTATATGGCTTATTAACTCAGCACGTCTTCTGTTGTTTTATATTTTGTTTTAAATTTTCCGCAAGTTAAAACATAACAATGCTTTTTTCCTATTGTTTTTGGAGTGGCAGATCCAGGGGGGGGGGGGCAAGCGACCACCCCCACCCCTAACTTTTTTTTTAAATTAAAAAAAAAGAAAATTATATTTAGACTTAAGTCTGAGTGTGCCATTTCCGGCCATCAACAGGTGCCATAATCATTTTATGAGCACAAGCAAGTCGTACTATTAAAACAATGACAGCGCTAGAAATTCCCCGACGAGGAGTCAGACACCTCCCCCTCCTCTCTCCGACAAAAAGGGCCCATATTTACCTCTGCCCTACCATGAGGTAAACACATTTTAAAATCATAGATTATTACTCGAGCAATTTTTATATTGAAGATTCCGTTAACTTACAATGGTTAAACTTTGTGACTAGATAAGTGCAATACAGATGTACAGCAGGGTTTGGTGTGAAAGTTAAATCCAAGCCTTTAAATTAGAAAATAAATTAACGATATAAATTGTTGAATACAATCAAAATCAATCGCTGAGGATTATCTTTGATTAAAATAATTACCAGATATCATGTAACTGAAGTAATGAATTACTGTAATAATATACACTTTTATTTAATGAATGAGCAAAGAGTCCAGGCATTATAATATTTATGTTACGAACTAATGTATTTTTTCCTGCTATGTATCTTAAAATAATATTTGATTTTATTATATTAAAAAAGGTTTTTAGTATTCCATATTGTGGGGTAAAATGAGGATTGATAGGTCTAAAGCCCTGGTTCTCAAACTTGTTCAGACTTAGGCGTTTTGCCACTAAATTTTAAAAGTTTCAATGCAAGTTAATGTTATGTGCTACTCACTTACCTATTATGAAACTGTTGCTCCCCCTGTTCAAAAATTCTGGATCCGTCTTGCAGTGGCGTATCTACCCTTGTTGGGGCTTCTTTAACCCACTTAAAATGTCGTGGTCCTGCAGAAACGTTAGTTTGGGGATACCTGGCATGAAAGTCAAGGAAATTTTAAGGATATGTCCCCATTAGATGCCCGGAAAAATCTCACTTTAATAAAATGCTTTCCATTGTGTCGAAAATTGAGTAATGTCAAATAAAGTCATCAATATATCAATTTCTGTGTTTTGGATCGCGGTCCGTATTAACAACCAGGGGTCTACATTGGCAAACGTTGACAATTCATGATTTTTAAAGGCTGAAATCATTTCAGTTATTTTAAATCAACATACAGCACAACAATCATATTAGATACAATGTTAATACGTACTCAAACCAGCATATTAAACAAGAGTAATCTAATTCCAATGTTTTTCTAAGCCTCTTTTGTAATTAATTACACATCACATGCCCAGGTACTGACATTTAATACATTTATATTGCTCTAAACAACTTATTCTACCGTTCCAAATGTGACACATTTTCAACACGTACGCCCCGAAATCTTGGAACATTTCTCCAAATCGCTTCCACAAGTTTGTTCATTCTTTCGTGGAAACTTGGTAAGCGCCACCAATATATCAAAGGATTTAAACCTGCTTGAAGAGTCAGCAGCACCATTGGAATTCCTTGTGCAATTGTTAAACAGTCCACCGCTTGAATCTCTCTTTCGGACGAAAATACCCCTTGAGGAAATGTGATGCAGAGCGGTAACCAGCAAACTACAAATATGGCCGTTAAGATCAAGAGAAGATTGACAACTCTCTTGTTCTCTTCTCGCCTCTCATCGCTCATAAAACTTGACGATTGGGAGAGAGATTTCAGGATAGATACATTTAAAAGCGTTATGACTATAGCTATGGAAAATATCAAAACTGGGCTGACGATGAAACCGATGATAGCGAATGAGATAAATACAGGACTCGCCAAAACTAGAATACCAGAGAAAACCCAAATAATGAAACTTACAATTATATTCAACGTTGCAGATGATACTTGTTCATAATGTAGAGGGCGTGTGATAGCCAGGGTACGGTCAAGAGTTGCACCAAGGATGCTAAGAGTTGCAATAATGGAGGTGGTATTGGCGCATTGGATGAGAAGCTGGGATGGTTTGTGTGTTGTCCACGCCAGTAAAAATCCAGTTATAAAATCGGATAACGTCAAACTCATCAGAAATACAAAGTGTTTGCTATGGAAATGTTTGATACACGCCAACGTAAGTAATATGATGAAATTATCAAATATTGAAAAATACGCAAAACATGCTTGAAGTTTTAGGTTGATCTGTTGTAGTACTGATAAGCCGGGATCAAAGGCTTTTTCGGTTGCATTGATCAAAGACATTGTTGTATACCAGTTTGTAGTCTAAAATAACGTCTGATCTCTACAGCGTGTACTCCCTTTGAATGAATAACAGCAAACATATAGATGCAATATAAGTACGTAATCAAACCAACATATTAAACAACAGTAATATGATTCCAGTGTTTTTCTAAACCTCTTTTGTAACTAATTAAACACCAGATTCTTGGGTACTGTAAATGCATTGTCATAATCTAAAGATTGGGTATAAAATTACTGCACTGGTTTATAGAGGTACAACCAATAATGACATAGTGACTGACAGCCGCAATCATCGCTGTCTGTTACAACACCCTGTGAATGTATGGGGTGCCATACGCAGCAAAATTCCATGTTAAAGTCGAATGGCACTTCAGAAATACAGTACAGTATACCAATATTCTCTCAATTTATATCCTACCGCGTTGTTTGTTTTAAGTTAACTTTATTTATTTATTTATTTTTTTTTTTAAGCGTACAGGTTTGGAATATTTTAAAATCCTTAAGTTAATTTTTTTTTTTTTCAATGAAAAATAAATGCGATTGGTAATATCGACCTTGGTACAATGTAAACCTGTAATCATATGACTACTTATACAAACTTTTACTATATTATAGGCCTAGACCAGGACCAGGCCTCCTTCTATTAGAGGCCTAGTCCAAGACCTTGTTGCAAATCCCAGCCCACAGAAGCCTAGCCTAATGCATAGGGCTCGTGATCGCGGTACCCTGACCATTAACAATTAGCAGACGCACTGGGAAGCGTTGTTCACGGCATTGGACTGCAGCGAAAAATGATTCCCCATCATTAATGGAACAGGCCCACGTCACGCTTGGCTGACTAGTTTTGATTTACATTTCGCATATCTTGTGTTGTTGTAAAATGTATTTCAAACCAGTCATGCTTGGCTGGTTTTGATTTACGTTTCGGAACATAATTTGGAGAGGGCGTTTGATGAAGTCCTACGTTTTGAATTTGAATTACATTTTAAAGAAATTAGAACTACATTTTGGAAAATTTAAATTACGTTTTGAAAAATTAGAACTTCATTTTGGAAACTAGATCTACATTTTGAGAAATTTAAGCCTACGTTTTGATAAATTATACATTGAATTTTGCAATTAAATTTTGATTTTAACATGGACTTTTGCTGCGTATAGCACCCCATATGAATGAACTGTCGCGACGGTTACGACGCGTCGTACAGCTAGCAGCTCAACATTTCTCACTTCCTGTCTGGTTTCTTCATTAAAATAACCTGGCGAGATTCGAGGACAATTTTCACCGTTAAGATTTTACATGCCTATTATTGTGTTTGAAAAAATGTTGTTGTATAGGCAAGATATACAGACAGCATACGTTTCCGTTTACGTTTCTTATGAAAAGTTGACTTGGAGTCAAGTTTTCATAAGAATCGTTTGCAACGCAACGTATGCGTTCCTGATGATGACATAATTAATGTCGAAATATTGAATCCCAACACGATGGCGTGTATTTCAATACTTGGAGTATGTATTATACTTTCTTATCTGAGAATAATCAGTGGACCTTTCGGTATGCGAGTTCATTCAACAAAAAGTCACTAAATCGCGGTTTCCTGTCAAATAGTGGAAAATCGACGTATCACATGAAAATTTAATACGTCGGTTTCCTGTCCAAAACTGTTTTGCGACAATTTTTGTTTACGTTACGTCGATTTCACAACGCACCAGTCGCAATCGGTTTCCTGTCGAATCGCATTTTCTTACGATAAAACGACGTAATCGTAAGTAAATCTGCCTTCTTACGTCGATAGGAAACCAGGCTTTAGCTTGTGCTAGGACTAAAATCTTCACGTCGGCGATTTTTGTCGTCGGCGTTGGGCGGCTGCACGCCGCCGTTTACGTCGGCATTGCCGAATGCCGGCGTTAATTTTGAGGGCTGACTTTACGTAAATAAATAAAAAATATTCAATATATTTAATTGCATATAGGCTACAACATATATTTTGGCTTAATCAACCCATATATTGTTGTTTCTAAACAGACGACCTAACGTTTCAACTAAAATAATTTAATTGTTTTATATTTGACTTCTAATGTTAATTTATTAAGTTCACAAGCGATTCTATTAACTTGCTTTTACAACAGTATTTTTTAGAACTTTCGACAAATTGACATAACGTTAACTTCCATTGTCTTTTTAATAGCAAATAAGTTTTTCTGACTCGTTGATTTTTATGTTTCTCGATAACCTATTGACAGTGGCGCCTAGAGGCCAGGGAAACCGGGGCAAGTGCCCCGGGGCCCGGGATAAAAATAATAAAATAAAATAAATTATTAAACCTAGGGCCTATACATATAACATCCAGTATCATTCATGTGTTTTTCCCACGAGAACTGTAAATAAAGCTGACGGTTTATCGATGAAAGCTGGTAATTAATCGCTTCTAATTCTTTTTCATGAATATTTTCATAACTTTCTACAACTCTAGAGTTAATGTTTACAGTGTATCAAATAGTAAATTCTTTACGTTATTAATTAATAATTATAAAATGCTTGAAACCGTCAAGATACATACAAGTTAGAAAAATACGAATAGACCTGATAGAGATTCGATTGTCAAATAAATACTGAATTAATATATTAAACCAGTGGTGAATTTAAGGGGAGGCCCAGCCCCAACCCCCCTACATTTTTCAAAATTTAACAAAAATTGAAAAAAAAAAGATAATTCTACTCAAATTTAAGTCTAAATTAAGAGCCAATAATCATACATTTTCTTACCACAGCCCATCTGTGAAAGTCCTTCTCTGGGCCCCCTCTATTTCAAATTCCTAGATCCGCAACTGTAAACTTTGATACCTATGTTATGAATTTTTTCAGCACGCTTGAATAAAAGAGGATAGGCCTAGCTTTTAATTTTCATGTTTCTATATTTATTTTTCATGACCTGGTGAAATTAGGAACACTATAATCGATTACGTTAATCCTCTAATCCATTGAAAGGCCGTAGCTTCCGGGGCGGGGGCACCAGGGATCTGGCCCTTGATCCCGCTGGGGCCATAGTCGACCCCAGACCCCTAACCAATAGGCCATGGCAGCGAGGATACCCCGTGGCCTCTCTCGGCGGCCCTGTCTATTGACCAATAAGTTCAACATCGTTTATCTTAAGACTCCAGAATCCAAGCAATTGCAATATTTTAGTGTGAACTGACTTAAAAGTTAATACATTTTTATTGTTCTTAACGACCTGTTCTACTGTCCCAGAGGTGGCACATTTTCGACACTAATCGTCGGATACCGGGGTGTGTCGTCAACACGTACACCCCGAAATCGCGGAACATTTCTCCAAATCGATTCCGCAAGTTTTTTCATTCCTTGGTGGAAACTTGGTAAGCGCCACCAATATATCAAAGGATTTAAACCTGCTTGAAGAGTCAGCAGCACCATTGGAATTCCTTGTGCAATTGTTAAACAGTCCACCGCTTGAATCTCCCTTTCGGACGAAAATACCGCTTGAGGAAATGTGATACAGAGCGGTAACCAGCAAACTACAAATATGGCCGTTAAGATCAAGAGAAGATTAACAACTCTCTTATTCTCTTCTCGCCTCTCATCGCTCATAAAACTTGACGATTGGGAGAGAGATTTCAAAATAGAAACATTTAAAAGCGTTATGACTATAGCTATGGAAAATATCAAAACTGGGCTGACGATGAAACCGATGATAGCGAATGGAATAATCACAGGACTTGCCAAAACTAGAAGACCAGAGAAAACCCAAATGATAACACTTACAATTATATTCAACGTTGCAGATGATACTTGTTCATAATGTAGAGGGCGTGTGATAGCCAGGGTACGGTCAAGAGTTGCACCAAGGATGCTAAGAGTTGCAATAATGGAGGTAGTATTGGCGCATTGGATAAGAAGCTGAGATGGTTTGTGTGTCGTCCACGCCAGTAAAAATCCAGTTATAAAGTCGGATAACGACAAACTCATCAGAAATACATATCGTTTGCTATGGAAATGCTTGATACACACTAACGTAAGTAATATGATGAAATTATCAAATATTGAAAAATACGCAAAACATGCTTGAAGTTTTAGGTTGATCTGTTGTAGTACTGATAAGTCGGAATCAAATACTGTATCGGTCGCATTGATCAAAACAGACATTGTTGTAGCTGTTTTATTAAAAAACGTCTGATCTACCGCGGCTACTCCTTTGGAATGAAATCATAAGCTTACACGTAAGCGTCTACTTTATATTCTGATTAAATTTCCCTGAAGTCTTCCCCCTGAAGCGCTTCGTATATCACTGCTGTTTATATTATGAACGACCATGAAATTGAAAAAATAATTACGTTAGTTTTTCTAGTGTTAACGCCTATCTTGAGGCATAGTGGCCGTAATGATCACTGAGCCTAAATTAGACTTCAGCAAAACACATTAACTCCTTTACTTTCCAATTGAAATATCTCAAATGGAAATGGAAAAGGATTTCACGTGGTTGAAGTGATGGGTGCGCGCGAAACTACTTCATTACACAGTCGGTGTTCATAGGTAATTGTAACGAAATAGTTGTTGACCTTCCATAAAATACTTAAGCGTCAGATAATACATGCCAATGCCAATAATGAACAATTGTATGTCGGTAAGTAGGTCCAGTACAACACAAAAACTATACTCGTCTATTAGTTACTGTATAATGAATTGTGAATCTGAAGTCAGTCCCGATAGCTTAATATGAAGCCTCCTGGAAGTGTCTCGACAATGAATGAATGAATCAACCGATCGTTTGCGTTACCATCAATGTACCAGATACTACTGCTGTAAGCATGACCTAGTGTGTTTTTATATGCAGGTACTCACAAAAATACACAAAAATCAGAAATATTAATAATTATGATGATGAAGATGATGATGATGTTTCACCTTTGCACAAGGGCGTAACGATAGGGCTGGGGCCCTGTGGCTTTCTGAGACTGGGGGCCCTTTTTGGATCCCGGTCGCCAATTCTATTTTGGATGTGCTAGTTTTTTGCTAATGTTTGTCATTGTATTGTAATTGTTTTTAACGACGAATTACATGATATATCAGTAGCGGTTCCAGGAACTTGAAATAGGGTGGTGGGGGAGGAAGAGAGGAACTTTCACAGATGGATGGTCTATACCACCACAGCCCCACCATAGTTAGGGCTGAGGTTTGAAAATTTATGATTATGGCGCCGGAGAATGGCACTCACAGACTTTCAGAAAGAATTTCAATATAGCTTTCTTTTTATAACATTTTTTTCTTAGGTTTTGACAAATTTAAGGGTGGGGAGCTCGGGCCGACAGGGCCCAATCCGCCACTGGATATGATGTATGTCGTACAGTCGATGTCAGAGATATACCATGTTGTTATAATATATCAACAAAGCCCTTTTGGGTCAGAGTGCTTGATCGAGGATTCTAAGGGTAGGGACACCTTCGGGGCCCCTAGGGGTCGGGGCCCTGCGGGAAACCGGACGAAGCACTGCGAACAGAGTATGGTCATAAAATAATAGTATGATTTGGCGTTATATACGGCGCCCATCAAATGTGACCAGAACAACAAAAGTTCCCAAAATCAGCTAAAAAGTATGGTAATGAGTGAGATACTACATACAAATTGTTTTTAATTAGGGTTACAGAAGTGAGGGGCGCAACGTGAGAATTAGGTAATATGATGGGTCAAGGAGGCGGGTCGGACCATCCCAAAATAATTTGCTTAATATTCTTTTTATTTTTTTGTATGTCGATGCACAACCGATGTGATTTTACTAGCTTTTTACCCTTTTGAACGCACCGCAATGGTTGTTAGTACCACTGATCTTAAAGAGTTGTTTTTAAATAGAGAATATTCCAGAAAAAAAAAATCTTCTACAAGGTTTAAGTTTTATGTTTGTGCTTTTTGGGTGGCCGAAACTGCACTGTTCTGCATTATAAGAGGCATGTTATGACTAAAACTCAGTCAACAGCATATCAACAGCATAAACGAGTAGGGAAATGAGTTACAGGGAGGGCGCTCCAAGAGTCCTACAAAAAAAAAACCCCGCGCATTCGCCTATAAATTCGCTCTTCAGCAATATGAGAGGCCTCTTAATGACATAAACTTTCTACATACTATGTTTTTCTGTGTTGTATTTTATTACTGATTTTCAGATACCCCCTATTAATTTTCGTTTCGTTTTTGTTCCTGCAACAAAACCAAGAACAGTAACTGATGATGATGATGATGTTGATATTTAATTTTCGACTGTAGTTTTACTATAGAAGCGACCTCCAAGTGGATTTCGGCTAAATGAGAATAGGCACCAAGAATAAGAAAGAAAATACATCATGTACTATTCGAACTATGCAAAATATAAATTCCAGTAACGGGAGAAAATTAATGATGATTTCGTTTCGAGATAGCCAGTATAACTTTGAATATTACGTAAGAGAGAATTCACGAAAAGAGGATGTCTAATCCAGGAACTGAAATATAGGACGCCCGGGGAAGAAATTTTGCAGGTGGATGATCCAGACTACCTCAGGGCCACCATAGTTGGAACTTAGGTGCAAAATCGTACGTCAATGGCCGAAAAAATTATCTTTTTACCCCATTTTTTTCAAAAGTTTAGGGTGTCGGCCAGGGCATTGAATCTGCCCGTGGGACACATGTCGTTCTGTTCAAAGACTTAAAATATTAGAAAGTACCAATGACAATAGCCAAATATGTTATTACCTCTTTGGTGTACACACATTGTATTTTTCTCAAGAGGTCAATGCAAAATAGCAGTATGAAAAATGTTCGGGAATTTCCGAAAAGAAAGTCAACGTTAACATGTCAAGGAAATTGACGATTTACTGTCACAACAACAGGAAATTATAGTTTTAAAGGTGTTTGGTAGTCAGATAAACTTTTGCTTTACGAACTGTTGAAATAGGGCCTAGATAAATAAATGAAAATTGAACAGTGTACAGAATAGCCAACATTGTGCTCGCTCGCGAAGGTCTTTTTTTAATTCATGTGGTTTAGAAATGATTAATATTGATAAACAATTTATGTTACATTTTATAATTAGAAGTACATAACAGTATAGGAAGTTGTCTAACTTAGCACCGATTGCTTACATTTTCTTACAACCTAATTCCCGGATATAGTTTCGGTCTGTTCCGTATCTCATGACCAATATGTGGCTTGAGATAAGGTTGTAATGAACTTTAAAGTACTAGTTAACTGTTCTTGAATACTATTTTGAGGCATGATATCATCGAACAAAGCATATTTATTTGGCGATTGGTTCTAAGCATGGATTAGTATCACTTGCTGCCAGTAGATACCACCAATTGGTGTTGCTGAAACAGGTTCTTAAAAATGAAGTTATTTAATCTGAATTTGTTCTTCGCGTTTATAAGTTTTGCAGGTAAATATAATACCAATAATTCGTATTCTCATTATGTAATATTGTATATACTAGGCTAAATAGGATTCTATGATTATGATGACGAGCCAGTGTTACAAATGTGATGTGCCATTATTAGTGTAACTTTCTCATGAAAGTAAAATAATATACGGTATTTAGTACTTATTATTTTGGACTTAAATTATATATTATGTATTGTATTTAAATTTGTTTACATTAAATCATGTTCTATAAGTACATCCGATACTGTAATTATTTTCCTTTGCAATTGTAGAGGTGTTAGGCGAAGCGGATAATGGTTTGATTGTCCAACCTCGAGAGGTTTAAATCCCTCGCTGTGCATTTTACTTTTGTCCTGATGCAAGGCCCTTTATCTGCATTCTTTTCTCTCTACACAGGAGTATAAGTGGGTACTTGGTAGGGTTAAATGCCAAAATGCGCTGATTAACTGCTGCAACGTTGTGAAATACTCCCCAGTAGCTGAGTTTGTGTTCCATAGGCGTTTAATTCAATGACCGGGATAATGATAGTGTGAAGCGCATAGGGGCCAGCTTATTATAACGCGCTATATAATAAGTCTACCATTATAATTCTGTGTAAAATGTTTGATATTGTTTGTGTGGTTTGTCTGTATACTTTATGAAATACATTTTCTGTATCTTACCTTCGAACTATTACTATCCGTATAGCATAATCCCATCACAGTTAAGCTTATTGATTTCATATTTTTACTTAAATTTAATTTATATCTATTTTATGAAGACAATAGTAAATATAACACTACTTGAATTTTGTCCAAAAGCTGCGAATTATTGTTTCAAGACCTATACATTTCAAGAAAGTGGAAGCTCGCGATGCAGGCATCGTTTGCCGAATCGTGATTTAGAAAACGTTGAAGATTGTTGTCTGCTTTCCGGTGTTGAAGGCTTTGCAACAAACCGCAAAGGATTCCGGTGTGTTGCTTGTCAGAGTAAACCAACTAGTTCGAGTGCCGGTAAGTCGTTATTTTTTTTTATATATAACTTTTTAATTGTTTTTACCAGGTGTGATCCTGATAATCTTATGTACATACATATAATATTATGCTGAATATGAAGCTGTTACAGCTATTGAGAAATAAAAGCGTCTGTGCAGTTTAAGGGCGCAGCTGCCATTCTTCTAATGGCGGTGCCTGGGGCACTAGGCGCGGTTCCTCAGGGGAAAAAAATTCAGTTGTCTTGCTCCGGGTTTGAGTGGTAGGGCGTAATCGGGGTCTGAGAAAAATCCCCCATAAGCTATTGTATTTTTTGGTGTTTAGATGTCAAATTTAAGCTGTTATTTAATGATTATTTTATGAATGGCATTTTTTCATTACTTCCTTTTTTCATCCTAGTTGTCCGAGCTTGGGTTTAAGGCTCCAGAATACTTGCCTTGGCTATTCTGATCTCCCTCTCATTGCTATTGTGTATATCTCGTTTGTTTATACAACGTTCACAAGTCAACTTTCGTAGAGTTGCCTAGTTTGGAATCATTGTTGTATTAGTATTTTAGCATTTGATTTATCAATTTGTTTACTGCTATTGACTAATCGGCTATTATGGGCTGGACATTTTACGAAATATTACTTGATTCACTTTATATGGTTTAGTTATAGAAACAATATATTTCGATCTAATACATTAGATTGGTCAGTTTGGAGTGACTGGCGCCCTTGTAGTGCAACCTGCGGTGGAGGAACTCAACTACGGTTTAGGGTTTGTGAATCTGGTACCTGTTCTGGAAATGCCGTTGATATAAGACAATGTGCCGACCAAAATGCATGCCCAGGTGAGCGCCGCCGCTGGTGCTGCTGAAAATACTACTAGTGCTACCATCAATTCCATCTAATGTGTCGTATCATAATCGCCATCTTTGACAGCATATTCTACAGTATCACAATCACCTTGACATCTTCATCATCAGAAGCTTAGTTTTACAACGAAGAAATCAATTTTTTCATAACACCACCATCATTAATCTCAACTGATGCTATTCCCCAGCGTCAGCCACATATTTGTTATACCAACACAATCACCATCTTAACAAATAGGTTAACGATTTTTTACAGCATTATCACTATTCAACAATTTGTTAATTTTATACCACCCTTGTTTTTAATATTTATCTTTACTATCGATTAGGTCTATTTATCTCTGTTTAAATCTTCATTGCCAATGTGACTATTTTCAACACCACATCTACATCTTTTTAAACAAAACCAACTTCTTTCCTTATTTCCCTAATATTATGATACCCAGTTAATGTTTTAAAATTAAGTTTAAAATATGCAGAATTGAATGAAATGTAACAATTACAATCTAATTTCACATCTTACAGTGGCAGTTGATGGGGGATGGACACGTTGGAAGAAATGGAGCAAATGTTCAGTAACATGCGGCAAAGGGACACAATACCGCTTAAGGAGTTGTTCAAATCCAGCACCCTCTAACGGCGGTAGACCTTGTGTAGGCCTAGATCAAATAGAACGATCGTGCACTGTCCAAAAAAAGTGTGTTGGTAAGTGTCAATTTGTGCCACAGTTTACTTTAAAAAATGTAAATTTTGTTTTATCTTGTGTTGGTTGCTTAGGATTGTTGCACTTTCTTTCCAAAGAACATTAGGAGGTCACACTGCAGATATCGTGCACTTCTAACGTTACCAAGTGATTAGATGTTCTGCCTTTGTTTAGAAACCATCAGCATATTATTTTTCTTTAAAGAACGTCGTGTAGACGTTACGAAACTATAAACTCTATTTGTATGTAACCTCAGCATTACCTTTTACTGAATAGGGGGTTGGAAATGAAAACGAAAGCATCCGATTTTAAGTTCTTTTTTTTCACTCGAAATCTACAGTTCATGGAGGTTGGAGCTCATGGAGCGGTTTCTCTGAGTGTGATAGATCATGTGGCGCGAATGCTTTAAAATTACGAACTCGACTTTGCAACAACCCTGTACCAGCCGAAGGAGGTAACGACTGCCAAGGTGATGACGTTGATATAGTACCATGCACCGATGTTGGACCATGTCCAGGTAAGTTGGGTGGAATCAAAGTATGACTTTGGATACCGGTAAAAACATTGGAGTAACAAAAACCAACATCGTTTTCAATAGAATTGCAATAGTTTGTATGTTTTCAATCAACCAAGCAAAATGAGATACATAAAACGTTATATTCAAGCAACGATATCTTACTTCGCAGAATTTTATTGAAACCTTTCTATTTTAAGGACAAAGGTGTTTAGAAGGCAAATGGCGTAATTTTTTTTATACTGTTTTAAATTATTTGCAGTCGATGGTTCATGGAATACATGGTCTGCGTGGTCCGAATGCAGTGTCACTTGTGAAAACGGAGTCGTAATTAGAACACGTCAATGTAACGACCCTAGTCCACAAAATGGAGGCAAATATTGCGTTGGTGAAGAAAGACAGACTAAAGAGTGTATTATGAACGGAAAATGCCCAGGTAAAACACAATTCTGTAGTTGGAATTTACGTATTGATGCTTTCAAATTTCATCGCTGAGAAACCATGATTGATTGTAAATGTGTATGGTCTTATATGTGTACATTTTCACTTATCCACTTACATACGTCACTAGATTGATTATACTGGAGCGCATGTACTCAAGCACACATTGTATGTTCCTTTATTACAGTTCATGGAGGTCTGACGGAATGGGGAGCGTGGAGTATCTGTGGTGCTGAACGCTGTGGAGGATCCGGCCACCGTTACCGCCATCGACACTGTACTAACCCGGTACCAGAATACGGTGGCAAATTGTGTTCAGAAGTGCAACACATTATGGAATCGTGTATAAAGGAGTGCAGTGGTAAGTTATCGGTAACTTTGGCAAAACAAAAAATGGTATAATCAATGAACATATATCTTATATGCTTTTAAACCACCGGAAAGTATAAAACAACCGGCCACAGAGTTCACGCCCTGTCTGTGTATTTTGCTAATTATTTATTATATTAATGTAATTTAAATATGCTATTAATCTTTCCTAAAACAGCACCGACTGACCCAAGTCCAAAGAAGAAATGCAGGTCAAAAGCTAAGCCTGATACTACGAAAAAGGTTTTTCCGAGTTCGGAGTCATCGTCGCATGGTTCCTTGTCATTTCCAAGCATGGAAGATCCAGATGTATCAATACCGATTGTTAACGTCAATCTACTAGGCATCCATCCGTTATCTCGCACAGCACGTCAGGTAGTGGCACCGGACCCTGGATTTCGTGCGGATCCACGTCTGCCAGATGGGTTTCGTGGGTCCGAAGGTGAATCAGAATCAAATGTATCCTCACTAGACAAGATTGAGATTGAAGCTATAATTCTCGGAAAAGAACAACCAGTTGTTGTTGACCGTGAAATTGACGACGATTCTGTTTCTATATCTGTATCCAGCAACGCTAGCCCCTTTCGGGAGAGTGACCGCAATGAGATTGACGGGACTGTACAGGTGAATGATGACCTTGAGGAGGATTCTGAAGTAGAACCGTCTTTCAGTTCATCTGATAGTGGATGGGAAGATTGTGAAGAAGAAACAAGTAATGTCGAACTACCTTCAGTTTCAATTGAATCTGAGCTTTCGTCTAGTTTAGACGTTCAAAACCAAAATATCGAGTGGTCAAGTTCTTCAAATCAACATAATGTCAATAATAAGGATAGTGAAGAAACCAATGATGCCATGGTTAGTAAACCTCTTGCAGATGATCCACAAATCTCAGATGACGAAAAAAGTTCATTTAGTTCCAGCTGAATGTTTCAAATTACTATATATCAACCTAACGCAAATTATTTTATCATCACAATAGGAATTTGTCTGATATTGTGAGTAAATAATGTAAATATTGTAAAATTTATGATGACATGTATATTTATGTAAATAATTTTTATATACAGTAGTTTCAACAGATCAATAAACTTCCAATGTAACTATTTTAACATTATAATACCGTATCTCATTTTCCAATATACTGTAAATCACTGTACAGTTCATACCGTACCTTTTTAATATGAATTTTACAGGTATTTTTTTTATTGTTCTACTATATTTAGGCCTATACAGCAATGTTTAACAAAATTCCAAAGTATTTAATTTTATCGTCTTAATGCAACTCCCAATATACTATCTCATAATTATATGGTATTACTTATGTGTTTGTCAATCATATTTTATTTCTGCAATATCTTGAGCTATTTTTATATAGGCCTAATGGTTATGTTCGGAAATATTTTTTGCTTATCAAGATGTAATAAATAGACTTATTAAAAGTGGGCTGCCCCCACGAAAGATAAAGGATAAATAAATATATGAAATTAATCACTTTGCCTTTGTATATCATGTACCATCGTTATTATTTTGTATGAGTGAAATAAATATTGAATTGATTGATTAATTAATTGACATGGGTTTTCTCGTATGACATGTTTAATGATCGATGAAAAATCAAGAAAATGAGGTCAGCATTTCGATCGGTATTACCCGATGGTTTTTTTTTCATTGCCAGAACTGTGGCTTGGTCGTACTGCTAAGGTATATTCTGGTATATAGCGTCAGTAAGGCGCGTAACACCGAAATGGAAAGTCTGGTAGGAGGTTCTCACATTGGTTTGACACGAGGCCCACCAATGACCTCGTTAGGTGTTCAACGCGTGAACACTGGATGCTTTAGCATTAGCCTGTTTAAATGGCATCGTCGAAAATATATCAGTATTACTGATATATTTTCGACGTTATATATTTTAATGTTATAAACAATTTCGACATTTCTGAGTTTTACTTTTGTTAACAAAAGTAAAACTCAGAAATGTCGAAATTGTTTATAACATTAACTTGAGAAATCTATATTTTTCTTGCAATTTAGACTAATAGAACATTATTAATTGTTTAACTGAATATTTAATACCTGAAGGGAGGGGCGTACCAGCCTTTTCCATCTTTCCCAAGTTTTTAAATATTATTAATCGTCCAGGATTGTTCGTCAAACGCCCATTTTGTGTACAACACATCTACAGTTTTTCCCTCTGGAGCCTGACCTTAATATCCGCTTTATTGCTTTGCAATTCATTTGTTTCAGTAAAATAATTAATATTATCCTGTTATTTTTTTTAATGACTAATCTATTATCACACGTGCAACTAAAAGCCTGTCTAAAATCGAAAGGTGGTTGGAAGCGTAATATTCCGGTAAAAATGCCGGGAAATATGGCCGGTTTTTGTAATTTTGGTGAATCATTTTTACAAACAAACATGTATGACACCGTGGAGTAAAAACACTCATATACATAGTACAGTAGTTTAGTTTTATTGCTATTCTTCAACTAACTATACTTCAATTTATTATTGAAATCAATAACTGATGGTTGATTTGTATACATTGTAAACGTGAACAGTACAAGTTTTCAATTTAGATCACTATGAATGTAAAATTTAATGTATTTTATAATATTGTATGGTTCTGAAAACAACAAAAAAATTTATATTCAGTTCGGTCTATAATTATCACCACACTGGGAGATCCCCTCCAATTAGTGCACTGAGTTTTTAGTTTTTGTGAACAAAAACAATAGGACCAACGATACGAATTCGTATTCCTGAAGTAAAGCAGATTTGTCTTACTCAAGGACACACGATATTACGGCATCGCAAGTTTCGAATTCGGTCAGTTTCACATCAAAGCCAAGTCTTTCTCCTCTGTGCTGACTCGCCCGCAATTGAAAATACATACTGTAGTCAAAGCAAAAATAATCACAAATATTTCTATACAGTGTGTACACTTTTTTTAGTTTTAGGCCTACTTACTGACTGGCAAATATAAATGAGTTGCACTTGGAACGCAACTACCACTTAGTTTGAAATTCCAAATTCGTTTAACCACGAAAGATATTTTGAAACTTTGGTATAAACACCAAATTCGTTTGGTAAGCCACATTGTCCTCCAGGACTTCCCCAGCTCACTATCCCCTCTATATACCAACTTTTCATCTCGCCTTCCCCGCGGGAGAACACCATGGGACCACCACTATCTCCAGTACAACTGTCAACTCCACCCTCTTCGAAACCAGCACAAAACATGTTCCGCGTCACTATAATGTTGTGGTTGTCAGGGTAAGCATTTTGGTAGTTCCTTTGACACCTCTGAAAAAAATAAAATAAAATCATTTAAACATGAGTATAGCTGTCGTTTGAATTTATTATGGAACGCTCATAAGGAATTTAGTGCATTTTCTAAAGGTACCCTATCTATGTTTGTAACATTGCATCAGGCGTACTAACTTTTATATAAAGAATCGCAAAAAAAAATATATCACAAAGGATGAAAATACAAACAAAAATAAATTATGTTCACTACATAAAGCTTTGTGTTGACCAATGGAATAATTACCGTAAAAGTGCGATATAGCAGCAATTATTGATTAATTACAGTACGAGTCGTAACGTATTTTATCTGGGTAAAGGTCCCTACGTGGTTCAGATATTTAACATGCAGGGAAGAGCGACCGTCTACGATTTGGAGTAATATTAAATGTTACCATGTTGAAAAAGATAGGCCTACAATTACAAAATGTTTATAGTTATAATGATCCTTAAATGTCAATCGGATGAGTGAATGTGCATAACCCTGGGCTATTGAATCTACTTCATGATATGGGAGGAGGAAGTTGATATATGAGCCCAGATTTACAAAAAAATTAAAAAAATTAAAAAATAAAAACATTTTTCATGGTGAATTAAGTTTTTTCCTTACCAGTCTGGAAACCACTGGGATAGTAGCTTGTTGAAGGACATCAGGTAACCCATGCTTTCTACCGTGCGTTTTCCCCCAACCTGTTAATACTCCTTTGTTACCTGGTTTTAAATTTCGTTTTGTACCTGACAACGTCGGGATGCATACTGGACGCACGCGCGATGTGTAATTCATGGCCTTCTCAAGTCTGAGAACGGCTATGTCGCCTTCCAGAGTGAATGGATTGTAGTTATGATGGACGAAAATTTCAGTAACCTTAAAAAACAGTAATCCATATCCATGTTATGGAAATATGACAAACACATAGTATAAGGGCTTACAAAATATGTAGTAGAATTGTAATTAAATGGAAAAAATATATACAGATATGCTAGACTATTTAGTTTGTATAAGCTATGAGTGGATCTGGTACATAGAAATTATAGATGTCACAAAGTTAGCTTTCATCATCAACAGGAGATTAAATCTACATGACGTAATTGCAAAAATTAAATATTATAGTCATTGATTTTTTTTAATTATTATTATTGTTATTATTATTATTATTATTATTATTATTATTATTATTATTATTATTATAGTATCAGATTGATTTTAAGATTTTTCAGCGAAGGTGAAGCCGAAACAGAGGCCAAAATTGCTTTCCATTAGGCTTCCAAACAAGAATATTTAGATCAAGACCCTGAGATTGGAAAGACTTGATTTGATTTGTTATGATACCTACATGAAACATATAATAAACAGTTTGAGAATATGAACAATTAAAATTAATAAAATCACGTAGTATCAAGGTTAACACACAGAAGGTCCCAAAGCAAGCATCTTCTTAACTACAAAACTACAGCTGCACTCAAGTAACATGCACTAACTTACGTTTATTGACTGAATCCATTCTTGATCTCTGTTGTGATAATTTCGGTAATATTTTCCTACTTCCACGGTGTATGTTGTGTTCGCAAATTCACGTTTGCTTGATCTGAAGCCGATAAGTGTTCATATTAATTATCTGGCATACATTTACATACAAAGGATAAGGAGTGCAAAAGTAATTCAAATGTCACAGTTGTTAACAAAGACAAAAGGGGGGGATAAGGACAAAACCGTTATTGTTAGAAGTGTAAAATGGGGATGGTGAATGCGCACACGAACGGTTACAAGTATTCGTTCTACACACAGCTGGGATACGAGATGACAATCTGAAGCACTTAAGATAATTTAACTTTTGTATTGAAAGTCATTTCCAAATTATTTGGACTATAAAGAAATCTGTATTGTATGACTCAAAGACACACGTTTTGCACTCATACATGTTCTTTACACGAACTGTTTTGCGAGACTCAACAATATACAAGGGCTGGTCTTAGCAGAACAGTACACTGAATGAATTTATCAAAATGCGAAGCAGATCGAGGCATTGCCATCCATGATGATTTATAATTTGAGAAGCCTAATTAATCAACGCGAAACTGCTTTATAATTTTTACTTGCCTTTCCCTAACGCAATGAGCTGCGGTTAGAACCAAAGTATCAGTAATGACAGATCCTCCACAGATGAGAAGCGACTTGCCATTCCTGTGTTGGTGGACAGCTGTATGCCACGGCCATTGCCCGGATATCGTGTCGTTCCCGCCAAAGACATAGGCTTGCTTTTCACCAGTAGCCTTTCCACAAACTTTTGGGAAAAAGTGGCTGTTGTTATTATTTGTGTAGCATTACAATTACTAATTTCAGGTGTCTTTAATATTTATGATAATTTATAATGCAGTAAGGTATTTTACAATTATTACACAATATATATATATTGCTTAACGCTTTTGCAACATCTTGCTTCAGAATCATGCTGAACAGCGAATAGACAAGATTCCAAATTCAACCATATACAACCTGACTGATACAAGTCTTCTTATTGTCCAAGTAAGAACACGCCAGCTCAAATTTCTTGGCCATATACTTCGCCTTCCAGATAATGAGCCTGTGAATGAATATGCCTTGTATGTGCCACCGTATGAAAACAGGAAACATGATCGCCAGCGCATTCTGTTTTTACAATATATCCAGCGCCTTTGGGTGATCTTAAGGGAATGCTGCCGCCACACCAAATCATCTCAATGGCCCAAGATCACAGCAACTGGAGAAAACTGACTGATGATGATGATTATGATATACAGGGGCGGATCCAGGATTTCAAGGATTGGGATTCAGAAAGTTCCCAAAAAAAAAAAACCAAAAAAATAAAGCGGGTGTGGGGGGGGGGGTGCGCTTCCCCCAGGAAAATTTTGATTTAAGTTCTTCAAAATTCAAGGTTTGCCCTCTCTTGAAAAAAGTCAGGTAATTTTATCTCATTCTTAGGCCTATACACAAAGAAAAAAGTAAAAGACAGGCAATTATTATATTCCAACAATATTTTGTAGTTGGATACGTAGTCTTTCCTCCATGGATCGGTAGGCCTGAAAAACGCACTTTCGTACGTAAATTATTACGACTCCTCGAAACAAAAACAGTGTCTGTTAAATTTATTTAATTGAAGGCTAGTTGGGATAAGCCTAGTTTGTCTGATCTGCCACCTATGCCCAGGTAGGTTAGCATGCCTTTTGTAAACCAGGACCCATTAGTATTTTGTTACATTTCTTCACAGAGGGGGCTTCGTCCGAACCCCTTGATCCCCCTGGATCCGCCACTGACTCCCTATCATCATTTTCACTGTTCCGAATCATTCATATCTATCATACGGTAATTATTGCCACCACCATCGTCATCATCATCATCACCATTCAAGCGGTTCGCCATATAGACAAACAGTTCAGTGATTCGAGTGTTGTATTTGTAGTCGTAGACCTACCTGGTTTGCATGTTGGATTTCGTCCACTCCACTGTCCATTAGAACAACTTATCTGCGATAATCCATACAATTTATACAGATTTGATTTGCATCTGTATGTAAGTTGAGTTCCGGAGGTGAAATAACCCTCGAAGAGGACATCAACATCTTGCTGACTTTCTTGTTGATCAGCTGGTTCTTGTTCGGAGATGCTTTCACTTGCGGAAACGCTTTCACTCTCTACTAATGAGCTTTCGGACTGTGATGACGAGCTGTGTGTTAGGCGTGTGCGACCAAAGCTAGTAAGCAGAGTAAACGAATAAATGTACTGATTTACTGTAATCAAAAAACGTACTACTAAGTAGCCCGGCGAATGTACATGTTATGTTACGTCACATAACTGTGCACAAGGTCTTTCAATTGACTTTAAGTGCAGGAGTACGTTTTAAATGTCGGAAGAGATATGGAAGGAAGGACTATACATTTGCAGCAGGAACAAATCTAGTACACAATACTGTGGACACACACACATACACAAATTATCAAGCGTTCTGATTCAAATAATTCATAACTACCTTCTACTTTTTTTAGCAGATAACGCAAGAGGAACAATCTCCACTTCACGTACGCTGTATTCTGGTACACCTGGATCCTCACACGCAGTCTCTGCAAAAAGTAATTCAACCTTATAATATTTATTTACTAATATCTTTAGCCAGGATGACACAATCATTTTAAAGAAATGTTTTTCATTGTGGTCCTGGAAAAAAAAATCTCTACTAATATTGACTTCGATAACAACTAAAATTGAATTACTATTTCAATGTAACAGGTGTAGGCCTAGTGTTACCTGGAACACAGGTTGGTTGTTCACCACTCCATAGTCCGGTCTTCAAGCAAACCCGAGTATCATCACCACTGACCATTCTAAAAGCGTCAGCACATGAGAACGAGATGATGTCACCCACGTAAAATGTATGTGCGTCTGCATCCGGTACCCGAACGGCATTAGTCACAACTCCTGGATCAGGACATGAGATATCCTTGACTGAAGGTAACAAAATAGTAGAAACATTGTCAACATTGGCACAAATTATAGACCTACATTAGAAATACGTTATTCTTGACACATTTAATATAAATGTATACGTTGGCTTTAAATTCTTCTGTAAAACTAATTCAGAAATATATAATTATCATTAATATCACGAGTAAGAGCGGGTCAAAAATTATTTCAATGTGCGGACAAAGCCCATTTAAACCAAGAAACTGTTTCTATAAACTGTCGCAGAAATCACTAACAGTATTGGAAGTTGAAGTATAACAGTTAATTTCGGCCTACCACACTGAGGAGTCGTGCCAGACCATTTGCCGTTGTACTGGCATAATCTTGCTTCTAGACCAGGTTCAGTAAAAAGATAATTTTCTTCACACGTGTAAGTCACAACGCCTCTGTAAGTGAAGTTGGTTGCGCTTAAATATCCATGTTGTGGAATATCTGGTATTCCACACTCAATTGGGTCTAATTTGGGCAGAAACAGAAAAGATGTATCTTATTACTATTGTACGTTTATATAATATTTATCCATTGCATCTTTCCAATTTCTATACAGTACTTTCAAGTATTTTAATCGAGATCAGCCTGCTGAAAAAACAGAACTTTGTATCTTATACTTTGACCGGAATCCATGCGGCATTAGTGCTATTTCAATATTGAACGTCAGGTACGTTGCAACGAATAAAATATACACATATACATGTATATGGTACTTCTCGTTGAAGGGCCTGATACGATAATTATGTTTCTATCCGACCACTGTTATTATTATGTATCTCTTTCTTACATACATATATATTATACTACCAAAAAACAGCTATTAATAGAAAAAAAACTTCAGTGATTAATGAATATCATCAAACTTTTAAACTATTTGACTATTTGCATCCCCAAAATACAAATACTGTACACTATACATACCGCAAATTGGACTATCTTCTGTCCACTGTCGGTCAGCCCCGCATTGTCTTTTCCGGGTCCCTTTGAGAATGTACCCTTTATCACATACGTAGCTGACACGAGACCCCTCAAGCAGGCCGCCTTCCAGAAATATTCGCCCATTTGCTGGAGGTAATGGCTCTGCACACTTCGCAACTAGAGAGAAGAGGTATGTTCAGATAAATTTTGACCTTTAATTTTTTAAAATTATATATTAATATACATTAATATAATAATATATTAATAATTACCACACACTGGTGGCTCTCCTGACCATGTACCATCTTCTCTACAGTTGACCTGTCCCAATCCTTGTATTTGGTACCCTTTAAGACAATCATAAAAAATACTCCTGACAATCGATGTCCCAGGAACTGACGTCACAATAGCTACAGCACCATTTGGTGTCTCTAATGCCTCACAGATGGGTTCTGAAACATAGATGAATAATTCTCAAGCTGTAAATTGTGATTGAAAGTGAAACGTTACAAGGAAGTGCAACAAAAGAAAACATTAAAGCTGTTTTAGCTTATTTCAATGACATCGAATAACTCCAAGACGATACTTACCACATTTTGGAGAATCGCCAATCCAAACACCATTATAATCACAATACAATCTTGATTGACCTATCAGTTGGTAATTCTTATGACAAGCGAATGTCACAGAAGTTCCACCAAGGAATGTTTGCACATCTTCTGTGAGCTTAGCATTGGGTGGGATATCAAGGGATGGACAGTAAACTATAAAGGGAAAAATCGTGATGTTCCTTAAATCAGTTGTTTAAAAGTAATGTACACAAATAGGTCACTGCAGTACAAAATGTCATCAGTAGCATTTAACTAAACATTACTATAATTGCTAACAAATACGGTACCTGGTATTCTCCGTTCGCACTTCTCCCCTTCAAACAGATCTGTGCATGTACAACTTCCATCACTGTTACATTGACCATTATTCTGACAATTGCAAGCTTTAGAAAATTTCAACATATTCATCAACACAAATCGAACACAGAATGTAGAGGGTTATGTATAATTGTTTATGCTATAGTAACTTCATATTTTAAATTGCTACTTTTGTTAGTTCTAAAAAAGCTTTTAAATCATCCTATCAACAAACGAAGATGATAGTTTTAGGCCTATGATAAAGTATTAACCGATCATAAAATTAGGGTCCTGAACCAAATTTTATTGCTAAACTAATATCTTTAAATCTCTTCAGGAAAGGTATTGATACTACACCGGTAGTTAAAAGTAGAACCGATACCAATTACAGACTCCGTATTATAGGCCTATATCGTGAGAGGTTAATCACGCCAGATGTTTATAATAGGAGAAATTTAAAAGTAGAACCGATACCAATTACAGACTCAGTATTATAGGCCTATATCGTGGGAGGTTAATCACGCCAGATGTTTATAATAGGAGAAATTTACTTTAGTTAAATCCTCGCAATTCATCGGATAAAAGTTCAATACGGTAGCTTCAAGATTAAAGATATTAATCTACAATATCGGAATCTTCCATGCAAATAACTGATTTATGTACATAGGGCCTATCATAATTAAAATGATAGACTATAAAAAGACAATGATTATTGATTTTGTCCGTGTTACAATTTGTAAGTGATATACGCGGATACAAACATATCCCTTATAGCATTTATGATTTGAACAAATTTCAGTCTGCTTTATTTATGTTTCGTTTATATAATAATATGGTACCATCCTATATATCCTCTTTATTTAAAAAAAAAATCCGATTACCATCAATACAATACTCGATCCTCAAAAATTTTATTTCTAAATCCTTAACTATTTCAAACCTTAGATGTCATTCCATCTTTTATACAGGCCCAAAAGTATGGGAGTCACTTACCATGTCTTTGAAAAATAAATTATCTATTTCCAGCTTCAAAACGAATTTAAAAAAAATCTCTGGTCTCGGCATACAGCAGGTGATCTCTCTACATCGACTGTATAATTTCCTTCTAGTTTGACATTTTTGTATTCATAAGCACCAGTAAACAACCAGCAGGCGTAATTTCCCGTTCCTTTCATTCCATTCTTCATATGACTCAACTCATCGAGTCTATCTGCCTTACCTTCGTTTTGTTTACTTCTTTTTATATTTTTTTATTCAAACTTCTCATTTTGTTTCACTTAATTTATTGTACTTATTTATTTACTGTACTTATTGTACTGACTAAAAAACTTTTTATAGCCTCAAATTATTAATCGTTTTTTCTTTTTCTTTTTTTAGGCGGCCTGAGCTTAAGTGTCCCCGGACCTATACAGGCCTCCATTCATTTATTAATAAAAAACCAAAATTTTCTTTTTTCTCTTGTGAAATGTAAATAATTTATTGATAATGATGAATAAACAGTAACAGTATAATGGCTTTTACCCAAGTACGATATGGCTATTTAGCATTCTCATAATTATTTTAATGCCAGAAGGCTTTCGATTTCAAGAAAAAATGTTAGCAGTTTAAATGTCTGAGCGCCGTAATTTTGGGGCATTTACAGGTAGAGCTGGGGTGGATAGGGACCCTCACGTTATACTTATCAAGTTATGTAAACGTGTTCCTGTCAAATTTGGAAATGAATTTGCGCCATAATTAATACTTACTCTGGTCACACCACTTTCCATATCGATCCGTGGGACAACTGACACAGCTCTCGACGTCATTATCGCATGTTTTACAGTGTGCGAACTGGGCACATTGAGCGGCAAAATCTATATCTTTGTTACACTCCTTACAATATGGCCTCCAACGATAGAAGTATGTACACCTTTGGTAGAAAAAATTGGATTAAAATCATAAATGAAAAAAATACGTAAAAAAGTAATAACCTACTTGTTATTTTATCTGATTTGATTTGATTTATTTGCATCTTAAAACATATAAGCATAAAATCATTCAATTTAAAATTTGTTATATATTACAAATTCGTGTTATTGCTAATATACGATTCAATCGTAAAATACAGTAAAACAGTTTAAAAAAAAACATTAAAAATTCAAGAAAAATATCAAAGCGGCAAGAACAATGAGTTTTTGTTAAATAATAATAATAACCTAACCTATTCAAAAGAGACCATGAGCGCACTGTATATTAAAAACATAGTAAAAACATATAAAATATTGCAAGCAATAAAAAAAAAAGCAAATAAAACATGAATAAAAACAGCAGGAAAAACAAAATGATAGGCCAGTATCGGTGTAGGACGTATTTCCAATGGCGTCATCAACAGGGAAACAGACATCAACCAAAAAAAAAACAACAAACAAACAAAACAAAAAACAAAAAAAAACCAAGAGGACAAAACAAGTGAGCACGTAACAAACAAAGCAGGTAACAAAGTTATTGGCGTAACAAATGAATGAATGAAATGAAATACATATCTGACAAACATAGACCTATAGGCCTATACTATAGAAGGTTTTTGCGAAGTTTTCTTTTGCATTCTTCAGTCTTTATACACTACAGAGTAACATGTCCTGTGATATTGTAACTGCATCTTTTTGTAGTGTTTCATAAAGTATATCAACAGGTAAACAATTGTTTTAAATCATTATTTTACGTTATGATAACGTTATAATAACGTTGCAGTTAAGTTATCTGAGCGCTCTCTTTTTGTGGAACCATAAATACGGTGTAACCTAATTTCTGACGACAAAACGTTTAAAATGTCGCTAAAATGTTGTAATAACATTCTAATTTTACATAACCAACCACAACATTCTCAACGTTCGCGAATGTTATAACATTTTGTTTGTCCTTTGCCGGATAGATTCAAGATAAGATAAGATAAGATAAGATAAGATAAGATAATGCTAGGTGAGGTAAGGTAAGATAAGATAAGATAACTTTATTGTCATATTCCAAACAAGTGAACTAAGAAATTACAATTTTGATGCTTGATAAATATGAGAACAAACAAAACTTACAAACTACTAAGACATCAGTAAATACATTTAAGATTGGTTAAAGATAATTTTAGATTATTGGACAATATTGTTCATCTCATCCCATCTTATAAAGCTGTACGCCGACGTACGAGTAGTGAATCTTTTTTGTAAACATTAATGATAAAACATAAGGTAGGGGCCTATAAGTTTAGCGTCTCGATAAGTAATATCATAACGTTGTATTATTCTAATAACAATGTATGATAGATTGGCTGGGTCTATGGGATATGGAAGGAAATCATTAAAATAATATAAAATCAAAGATAATGCGATTTTCCGACGAAATAAATGATAATGATAAGTCGTATTATAATGTGGCTTATGTATACTCTACCTTTCAAAACTTAATGAGAAAGTTCTCACAGTGTCACCACACGAACAGTAGTTCAGGCCATCATCACAGCCGGTTGGGATACCAATACAGTTAACCCTCTCCAGTAATGTCACCACGATACAGAAGGCAAGAAGGGATTCTGTGAGGTATGTTACTACTTATCATAATGTGATATTTCTCAATTCTATTCAATTATAACTATATTGCATAGATTCATAGAAGACATCAATATAGCTATCATCTGCTAAAACATACACATTTTAAGGCCCATTTACATTTTTATACGTATATTAAATATGTATATATAAACTATATATATATATATATATATAAACTATATATATATAAACTATATGATATATAAACTATTACTGTGCAGAGTAGGTTGAAAGCAGATCATTCAGACAACAGTGCTCGATACATAAGCAGAACAATATAAAATCAAAACAAGATGACGCATGGTTACAAATTCATTTTACATTTTACATTTTACAAAAACATTGCATTGCACTACAGTCTGTTTCATGAGGTACTTCCTCAATCATCAGGTGCTAGGCTCTCTGATGATTGAGGAAGTACCTCATGAAACAGACTGTAGTGCAATAAAATGTTGAATTTGTAACCAAGCGTCATCTTGTTTTGATTTTAT